TCAGACTCAGGGGCGATTCACGGAAAGTGCAAAAATAAATACACAACTTGTAGCCTGGATAACAGCAGTCTCGACGGTGACCTGCACTAACACGTCCGCTTCGGATCCAACTCTCACTATTAGTTGCTTATTGTCATGCAGATTACTAGGATATTTGCTGTTTATTATAAAACACATATCAGCCTGATTCTGCATCGCTATATCCCTGAATCACCCAATACCCATACTATTTCACTAACCAGTAAGCCATTATTTAGAGTTTATTGAGGGAAAAGTTATAGTTAATAGTGAGAATTGGAGCGTAAACTAAAGCGTGACCCCCTCATGGTTAATAATCGAGACGGGAAACAAGGCCTTGCTCTCGTGGCGAGTGTCAGTAACACGATATGGTTTGTTCGAAGTTGAGCGTTGGAGGGACATGTCGAAGCTGAGAGCGAAAAATCAGGTGAGATCAGCTGAGAGCAAAAGAGAGAAATCAGGTGACCTATAAATGTCTGTAAATATCTGACATTAATAAAGGAAAGGGGAAGTGAGTGACTCTTTGCTGACCGATAGCAAAGGCCAGATACTCCTACACTTAGAAATGAAGGTTTAGAGCACTAGTGCCTGTCCGTCACTCTCTCATTTCTCCCACAGGGTTTTAAAAAAAAAGTCTCTGTCAAAGCATTTTAAGCCATGAGTCAAGCCGCCCAGCAACAGGGCGAACCAGAACACACTTCTTATTAAAGCAAAACAGTATTTCGAGGGCTTGGAGCCAGAGGGGCGTAAGTGGCATTTTGGGGCGAATACGAGTTCTTTATATCAAAATAAAGGTCTTGATGAGCTCTATCCAATGATGCCAAAAATACCTATCTGAGATCAAACTGTATTGAATAAAGCAACAAAAACCAAAAGGGGAAAGACTTGCACTTAGGCCATGCGTCCATAGATATCTATATAAAGGCTAGATATGTCATGGAGGTCGTCGTCTGCACCTGGCGACCATCTTGTCACAGGCAGCTCACTCGTAACATTGTGTTAATGGTACAAGTACTATTTAAATGACCATAACTTGCTCAATTTTCTACCGATTTGTTTGCTAACGGTTTGTTTTGTTATAAACGTCAGAGATGTAGTTATGACCCTGCGTACTTATGAATAAAAAGTGTATAAATAAATAATCATCCAGATAATTAAAGCCACGTTAATAACGTTTGTAAGAAACCAAACCGTTTGTAAATCCGTCAAGATTTCCACGAGATAAGAGTATTTGTGTTCGTGCTGACCATTCATCTTACATCAGCTTGTATGTGAAAAGACGGTGATGACGATGGAAACTCCGCCGTAACACATCTAGCCTTTATATACATATCTATGCATGTGTCCACCAAAGCGTTTTTATCCAGCTGGAAACGCCAGACGCTCTGCTGGAGACGCCGTGCTTTGGGCGCTTGAGAGCGTTTTGGCAGCGCAGCGTTTTTTCCGTTAAGACATTTCGTTGCTATGATACAGAATATCCGCAGCACAGTTTGAATGTTGTGACAGTTGGTCAGTATGATTTAGTCCCGCCCCTCCTCCACTGTGATTGGATGGCTGGGTAAAATGTGACAGTGATGAGCGCTGCGTTTTATCCAAAGTTGAACATTTTTCAACTCTCGGCAACCAGTAAAAAACGCAGGGCGCTCGGCGCTTCAGCGTGAAAAAACCGCTCAGCGCCTCGTTACGCTCATGGCGTTTAAATAACGTGGCGCTCCCATTGAAAACAATTTAAAACATACGAAAGGCGCGTGGAAAAACGCTTTGGTGGACACACGGCCTAACGACTTTACTGAGGCAAAGAACTACAATCCCATGAAGCATTGCGAATGGCTTACATTAAAATATAAAACTATCAATCAATCAATCAATCAATCAATCAATCAAAACTTTTATTTCAGACTCAAGGTCCAAGTCTTACCCACAACAATACATTAAGACATATCCATAAATACACATACATACCTACACATTAAGAAAATAATAATTATAAAACGAAAATCATTGTTCTTCCAGAAGACAATTATACCAGTGTTTCCACAAATTGGATTTGTGTGTATGTGTATATATATCCATATATACAATATAGGCCGATTATGTAAATTTTGCAATAAAATGCATAAGTATTTTTAGAGGCCGACTGGATTGTGTAATGGGAGTGGGAGGAGCTAAAGAGATATTTTTTTGAGTATTTGGTTTGAGTCTGGTGTAATTTTCTTCACAGCATCATAAATAATGTAGTTTTTTTTACCACAAATTCCCGTTAATAAGCGAGACACTACAGGCAAAGCTGATCTTATCTGTCCATTTTGAGATTTTGGGATCATGTTTTTTCAGACTAGCTAGTGGACAGAAAACACTTAACAGTATCTTTTAGATTACAAAACTTTATCTATTAGCATCTGTGGATTTCAATTACAGTATATATTACAGTATATATTACATTATACAAGGCAGTTTTTCCTCCTATTGAGCCAGAAATCTCCACTTCAGGAACACTCACACACACCAAACCTCACAGTTTTATTCTTATCTATATTATCAAGCTTTTTACAAAGGGGTTTGTTCATATATGTTTTTCCTGATTTTATACGTTTTATTCTTAAAAAATGAACGTGAATTTTTTTTATTTTTTGGCTGTTGACAGTATTTTCTGATTCGTGTGAAAAAGAGTGATAAATGGAGATATTTAAAACGTTTTTTTTTATGCTCAAAAAATAGGTTATTTATGAAGTTAAACTTTTCACTGGAAAAGTATTTGAGGAAGCAAAACTGCTTCTTCCTTTTTATTTTAAGAGTATATTTTAAGCATTTAGTGACCCGATATGGAACTGTCTGGAAGTTAATATACGGCGAAGAAGTGACTTTAACAATCTGGCTCTCTGCATCAGGACTCACACACAACTTTAAGCAGAATAACCCGAGATCCCGAGCCGCTCACTGGACCAATTACAATAATGCACCCGTGTTCAAATACCATAATATATAACATATTTATTCTCGTAGAAGTGGCAAGTGTGACGTATGATCTGTTATTTCAACTTCAAACCGTCAAAACGTCATTCACACATCTGTACTGTTCTTGGTCCCTGATCTCAATATTATTTAATGCATGCCAATATCAAACATGAACGTCTTTGGTTATGGTGCTGTCGCAGATGTTTATCATATCAAAGATATGAAAAATATGCATTACCATTCAAAAGTTTGGGATCAATAATAGTTTTTAAAGAAATTGTTTAACACCGTGCATAAAACTGACATGACACCTTCATAATCATGACATGCAAATGTCATTCGCTCAATTATGACATTTTTAATGCAAATATGACCTTGTTTGAGATGTCTTCATGACATCTTGACCTCATAAAACTAATACATCATAACCTGTCATAAACATGACATAGCAGAATAATCATCAAACTTAAGAAAGCACTTATCTTTATGGGTTAACATTACATTAAACAGTCATGTGGTTGGCTTTGACATTGGCTGTTAACCCATAAAGCTAGGTATTTCCCTAAGTTTGATTATTAATCTGCTATGTCATGTTTATGACAGGTTGTGTTTCTTAGTAATGTCAAGTTGTCATAAAGGCATTTCAAACAATGTCATATTTGAGCGAATGACACTTAATGACTTTTTCTGAAGGATCATGTGACACTAGCTGGATGTTTCCATTCGAAGTTGGGAATTTTAACTTTTAATAATAAATTAATAATAAAAGTGGAAGTTTCTGCAATCGAGGGATTTTTTTGGGTGAATGTGTTTCCACTGTAGTGCGTGAAAGGAAAAAAATATTACAAATATATTACAATAGAAAACAGTTTTAAACTCTTTATCCAAAATTGACGTAATGTCCGTGTTTCCACTGTTACGGTAGGGGGCGCTGTTACACATCTTCTGGAAGACTACACAATCTCTGGATCAAAACACACGCGGAAAACAAGCCATATTATATCATATGCAACTGGATCGCCAACTTTAAACAGCATATCTATATCAAAACTGCCTAATGTTACAGGACGAGCTGCAAGACTGATGTTGAAGGACTCCATCGCTCCGAATATAATCTGCATGTAAAAACGTGAATTATTGCTAAAAATGTAGCTTTACTTTTATGAAACGTACCCATTCAAGTGTTGATTAAACAATAATGCGTGAATAAAACCGTTATTTTGTTTAAAAGCAGAGACTCTGGAAATGACATTTCTTTGAAAATGATCAAAAGCACAGGCCGAACACTTTTTTTTTTTTTTTTCTTCAAAAACTCTGGTGGAGAAAGTGTTTCCGGTCGACCACCATGGGACCTTATTTCGGAAAAACATTGAATGGTAGTCAATGGCGAGTGACAACAAATATTTTGATCTCGTTTTAATTGTGCCCTGAATTACACATATGATGTTCGTCAATTTGAAAGATACATTTTAAAGTAAAGAAAGTCGCAGTTTGATGTAAAACCGTTGAGGTATAAGACTGTGAAAATACAATAACAAAGACTACAAACCCCAAAGGCGCACATTTTCTCTCAATGAATGAAGCTTAACTTTACTGAGGCTGTCTGTCATTGTTTCTACAGTCTTACGTTATAATCGTAACGTTACGCCGTCCTACCTGAGTGTTTTGTACCAGACTGCACACACACGAGCAGCGGATCTCGTTTCTCTTCCCGGGAGATGTAGTTCACAGAGCGATTTTCACATAAAACTAAATGTTACTCTTCTGTTGTATGACAAACGGCGACATTTTTGACTTTCAAAATTATCTAAATTGACAAACATCATATGTGTAATTGAGGGCACAGTTCAGACGGAATAAAAAGATAAGTTGTCTCTCGCCATTGACTACCATTCATATTTTTTCCGAAATAAGGTCCCATGAGCCGGAAGCGGAGAGGCGGGACTTAGGCTCTCTATATCACAATATTACAGTTTTTACGGTGTTTTTGATTAAATAAATGGCGCCTTGAGCATGAAAGACTTCTTTAAAAAAAAAAAATAAAAAAAAATAAATAGATAGATACTGAGCCCAAACTTTTGAATGATAGCGTGCATAATGTGCATTGTGAGCTATGCCTTTTGCAAAGACAATTCCTTTTCATACAAAATATGAAATATTCAACACAAGGCCAAAGGTGAACCGGTGCAGAGATGAAGAAACACAGGAACCGTCTGTCTCACAGCACTTCCTGGTAAGACGAGGAAGTCTGGGCGCCGGCTCCGGCCGCAGGGTGACGCTGAAAGTTGATTTTGTCATACAGGGTTTGAGGCTGCAGAGGGAGTGAGAGCACGGCGTTACAACACATCACACACACACATGCTCTGCAGAGGTGCGGTCAACCAAACGTCTCGAAACACACAGCTGAGATCACCATAATCGCTTTGCCCACTCAGAGTTAATACATGTCACGCAACACAAGTGAATGCATATTATAAACCCATTTCATGAGCAAAAAGGATGACAGCAATATAAGATGCATGCAAGCACTCACCATGTTTTGTGTGACTTTCAGGTCATCCACAGTTTCATAAATGGACATCCCTTTAACACTCTCGGGGCGTTTCTGTGAAATAGATTACATCTGGTTAGCTGCTTAAAGTGTATCCACATTGCTATGCCACAAATGAGGTTTGCATGCATATTAAATAGAAATGCGTAGACATGCAGTTATGTAAGTGCATCTTGCGCACGCACAGGAAAGGCGGATGTCTAATCCAGGACAGCGGAAATGAGCCGCTCACCTTCGCCACGCCATCCGTGTTCACGTCTTCATACACCGTAATCCCATCTCGACTCTCATCTTGTCCTGAAAGTGTGTGAAATCAGCTGTGAGATCATGAATAAAACGCTTTACAGAAAACAGATAGTTCAGCTCCTTGATTCTGATTGGTTCAGCCACGTTTAAAGTCATTGTAAATTACTCCCAAAATTACATTCAAAATAAGTGTTTTTATGGAGCAAGCGTTTTGTAAGAGCAGTGGTGGAGGAAGTACTGAATCTCAGTACTTAAGTAAAAGTACAAATACCCAGATAAATATTTACTTTAGTAAAAGTAGAAGTAACACAATGACAACCATACTTAAGTAAAAAGTAAAAAGTACTTTATTTTAAATGTACTTTAAGTATTAAAAGTAAAAGTACTTGCATAACAATTTATTATCTTAATGTCTATTTTCTAATGATTAATAAAACATTTAATTTTAACTCATTCAACCTAATAGCCTACTCCTATAATGATGTTCAATAATGATGGAAAAAAATGTCACCATTTCTGAAACAAGCTTGCAATTAGGCAATATCATGCTTATCCTTACTATATGTTAATAACTATGTTTGGCAGTAAACGCGATTCATTTATGGTGTAATTCTGAACCTCTTGGCTTGCCATAATCCTAACCAAACCAAACATATATTACACACGGTGTGTTTCCTATGCACGTAAAAACAAATTTTCGCGTATGAGTTGCATGATAAACACACTGCGTGTGAGACGCATTTAGTGTGACCGGGTTGATATACTGTATCTATGGCAACCAAACGTCACTGGTGAGACAAACGTGCAACGAACGGACGGTCAGATTATGTTTTGGCAGGGGAAAAACTGATCAGAAAATGTAACGAAAATGTAACAGAAGCTGTAGAAATGTAGTGGAGTAGAAAGTATAATAATTGCTGCAAAATGTAACGAAGTAAAAGTAAAAAGTGGGCACTTCTTATTGTACTTAAGTAAAGTAAAGATACGTGAAAAATGTACTTAAGTAAAGTAACGAAGTATTTGTACTTCGTTACATTCCACCACTGTGTAAGAGCAATAAGCCCTGTGAAGCAGGTTTTTTTTTCCATATATTTATGATAAATATATTAAATATTTTGCATTAATATATTAAAATATATTGAATAATACAAAAGGAATTACCACTTTCCATGCATTGAAAAATATGTGACAATATTTTTTCATGAGGAAAGTTGTGTTAGTATTACTTGCTTTCAGTGTGTTCACACACTGAAATGTGTCGGCAGTGTGTGAACACAACCTTAAGGTAAAAATCCACCACTCGTCTTTTAATCACATAAATCATAAGCAGTGTCTCAGATCAAGCCATTTACATCACATTACATAGGCCCCGCCCACAACTGTTGATCAACTCTGCCATATTAGCATAGGCCCCACCCACAACTGTCTATAGAGTTTGCACTATTAGCACAGGCCCCGCCCACAAGTGATGATGGCTTTTGCCCTATTAGCATAGACCCCGCCCACAGTGGTCTATGCACAGACGGGTGGGAATGGGCAGCAAAAAACAAACAAACTGTAGCGTAGCCTAGCGACATGATGGAGATAATCAATGATGTGGAAAAGAACCTCAAAAGAGGTATTTACAGCACATAACCTAAGCAAGGCAAGTCTGACATTCATATGCGTTTTGTCTTTCTGTGTTCTCCGAGGCTAGCTGCTTTTACTTTCTCCACATTTACACCAGGACTACTAAAGCCTATGACGGAATACTTCAATAGCTAAAATCAAAGTACTTGAAGTCTAAAGAAACGTGCAGTGTAGATGTCCCCGATAGCCAGGCTACTATTCATCTTCCTGATCAGTGCGTCAGAATACATGCAGGCCAGGGAAACGAAACACACAACCCCATTAATCTCTTTAATAATAGCATAGTGTGACCAATAGTCCTGTTTCACATCCTATCCTGGCTGTTTTTTTTTAATAAAATGATGAAAATTTCCTGGTTTTCAAAAAAACTGCTGGAAAAGATCAGCTCTACAGGGAAAAATACATGGACAAAAGGAGGATGAGGAAGAAAAACAGGATAAAGAGGAAGAAAACTAAAGATATAAATCTATTAGTCCAGTCATTTTAAGCCAAAATGGGGGTCAACCTTGAACAAATTGCAACAGAAGCAAACTCAACTGATTTTGTATCCTCAATATGTCCTGAGTAAGGAAAAAAAAAGCCCCGAAGAATCCCATTAGGGGAAAGTTTGGAAAAGACTCAAATATCGGATATTCATCCTTTCTCTTATGTGAATAGGGTAAAAATGTTAATCTTTAGATATCATCATGAAAATCACTGAGTTGATTACTTACATCAAGACAAACAACAAATGTATTACAAGTTTTTTGCAATTGTTTGTTAACATGGACAAATGGTGAATAATCTAATTACACATGCGCTAATTTGCATAATTACCCAAACAGATCTAAACATTGGGTATAGCAGGTGAAAATGTTTTTTTTTTATCTTGTTGACATATAACAGTAATAGCAAACTGACATTGAATCAACGTGGAAATATGACATCGAAACAACGTTGATATGACATTGTTTTGCTCATCGAATTAACGTTGAACCAACGTCAGACGCGTCATTCTTTCAAAACTAACGGAAAATCAACTTGAAATCAACGCGTTGTTTCAAGGTGAAAGCAAACCAATTTTCGATTTCATTTAGCTTTGAAGAATGCCGCGTCTGACGTTGGTTCAACGTTAATTCGATGAGCAAATCAACGTTGTTTCAATGTCATGAGAGACGTCGTTTCCACGTTGATTCAATGTCAGTTTGCTGTCTGGGAAAGACTTAATGTTAAAGGGGAAATGAAGCGGTGAATCAAGTTTACATGATTTACAAGATGGATTTCCAATATAATCAACAATTATATAAGAAACATTACAAATGTAAACATTTAGAAGAAAAAAAGAAAAAAACTTTGTATCTTTCGCCGCCATTGTGCAGGTGATGTCACGGGGTTGGTTGGCTCAAGTTTAACAGGCTGTGTTTACACCAGTGTTTTGACCGCGAACGACTAATGTTAGGTACAGTCATTAGACAAAAAGACGACGTCTAATGTTATATGTTGACAAACTGCACATAGAAACATTGTTCGCGATGTCTGCCGTCAGATATTCCTGTCTCGTCAACACCATGTAAGTTACGTTGCTGTGTAGAACAATCAGTGGTGGTTTGGGGCGGAGAGCGGGTTTGCAACGCTAACTTACCAGGTGTCAGTGTGGCTGTTGTCCTGCGATGCCCTGAGTCATGTTGTCAGAGTCCATCTGTTATCAAGAGGTTGATCTTGAGCATGTGTTGCGTGGTCAATTCTGCATCACCGGCGCGCACGTTTACCATGTTGTGCCGGGAGTTAGACGTGTGGAAGCGGCGATGCTTTCCCTGAAGGATGTCAGAGCGGAGACACTTTTTCCTAGTATGTAGGCTGTAGCTAACGCTACTAGCACTACCAGTGCGAAAATATGGACGTTTCATTTCTCCTTTAACAAATACGTGCTAACTTACATGTTATTGACGAGACGGGAATATCTGACGGCAGACATCGCGAACAATGTTTCTATGTGCAGTTTGTCAACATATAAGATGAGACGTCGTCTTTTTGTCTAATATCTGTACCTAACATTAGTCGTTCGCGGTCAAAACACTGGTATAAACACAGTTTGATGTCGCGATTTTCAATGCCCAGAGCCTGTTAAACTTGAGCCAACCAACCCCGTGACGTCAACTGCACAATGGCGGCGCCCTGGCGGCAAAAGAGACTAAGTTTTTTCTTTTTTTCTTCTAAATGTTTACATTTGTAATGTTCCTTATATAATTGTTGATTATATTGGAAATCCATCTTGTAAATCATGTAAACTTGATTCACTGCTTCATTTCCCCTTTAAGGTCTGATTGGAACCCATTTAGGCTACCCATAAACATTAATGCAGGAAGAAGTGCTTTAGAAACCAGCCTTTTTAATTATTATGGCAGAGATGGGGTTTGGGGCTGGGTCAGTGGGACTGTACTGGGGGATGAGTCTGAAGGAAGAACAGGAGACATGGGTAAGGAGAATGCTGAAGACACAAGGTAGGTGAAATAAATAGTGTCTGGATCAAAAAAAATCTAATTACGTACACAATTCCCAAACCCCATCTCTGCCAGGCTGGTTTCTAAAGCACTTCTTCCTGTATTCATGTTCATGGGTAGCCTAAATGGGTTCCAATCAGACCTTAACATTAAGTCTTTTACTGTTATAAGACAACAAGATTAAAAAAAAAACTTTTCATCTGCTACACCCAATGTTTAGATCTGTTTGGGTAATTATGCAAATGAGCTAATACGTAATTATATTATGCACTGTTTGTCCATGTTAACAAAAAAATTCGAAAAACTTGTAATACATTTTTGGTTTGCCTTGATGCAAGTAATCAACTCAGTGATTTTCATGATGATATCTAAAGGTAAAATTTTTTACCCTATTCACGTGAGAAAACTAATGAATAGGCGAATGAAAGGGATATATTTGGGTCTTTTTTATCCTCACTCAGGACATATTAAGGATACAAAATCAGTTGAGTTTGCTTCTGTTGCAATTTGTTCAACCTTTTTTCATAAAATGACTAGACCATAGTCTATTTTTGTAAGTTTGTGAGAGCTATTTTTGTTCAATTTGGAGCTATTTATTTTAGTTATTTATTATTTATATATTTATTTTCATTTTACAGAAGAGACATTATTTATATTATTATTTCATTCATTATTTTTTAAACCTGTCATAATAAAACATGTTGTCTAACCTCTGAGAAGCCTGAATTTGTGTCTTGTAATATAACAATTTTCTATCCATACACAGGAGGCACAGCCTATTTTAAATATATTGAAATTTAATAATGATTCTTTTAGTAAACTTCGAGTATCATTTGAGTATCTGTTTGCCAGGTTTTTGGTATTCAAAATATGGTCACCCTATAATAGCAATACAAATGTGTTTTTTTTTTCCTGTGGGACGGGAGAAAACACAAAATCTATGCATCTCTATTATTGTGCTGGATTAAAATGGAGTTTTGCTGGAGCGGGGGCGGGAATGTAACAAATACGCACAACACAAAACTGCAATGTCATGTGAGCATGACCGCGATATAGAGATGATAATCAAACAGAGGTTTTAATTTTTAGCAGGGTATCCGAGGCATGAGCTGTAAAGGCTCGGCCCTCTTCTGGAAATTTTGAGGTGAATAAAGGGGGGTAAAATGGAGTGAAAAGCAAAAAAGAAATATAGAAGAAATTTTTATAAATGTCTTAAGCCTTCTATTTTTTTATAACTTTTATTAATAACGGCACAGAACCAGTTTATTTATATTGGGTTGTCTATCTCACACTTATCTCACACTTCTCACTATTTGACTTTTATCTTCTGAAAAGCGGAAGCACAGCAAAGTCAGGCTGAAGATTAACTTTGCACAATGATCTTCATTTTCGGCTCATCGTTTCGGGTGTCCATTCTCGCTCTGTAAAGGAAGTGTTTCACACCCCCTCCTCCACACACACTGCCAGCATCTGTTTTATTCACTCCCACCCCAGCGCTGTGTGTTTGAACCGCGAGGGACGTCAAAGCTCACGCCACTCCTACATCTACGTCATACGTCGCGTCGAGTGTTGCCATCCTGGCGTAAGTCGACTTGCGTAGGCCGTCTGTTAAAGCTGGATATTTTAGTCGATAAAGTTAAAAATATGGATATTTCTCTCACACAAACGCAACACATCGCTTCAGAAGGGCTTTAATAAACCCAGAGTCATGTGGAGAACTTTAATTCAAAAAGAAACGCCATTATAAAGCGTGGAAGAGCCAGGACACATTTCAATATAACTCAGATTGTGTTCGTCTGAGAGGATGGCTTCAGTACCAACACAACTTTCCTTATAAACACAACTCAAACATGTGAAAGTAACTCATGTGAAAAGACATTAGTGTATTATCACATATTTTTCAATATATTTAAACCATTCAATACACCGATCATGAATATATGGAAATATATTTTCTTTCCGTAGGGGTAAAACCCATATAGCCTAGTAACCCACAGTTGCTTTGTGCTGTGTGTGTTCATGTCGGCGTGTGTGTAACACACCTGTACGCCTCCTCCGCTTGCAGAACACGGCCAGGCTTGCCCCGAGTATGACGACAACGACGACACCGGCGCCCACTGCGATCAGCAGATACTTCAGATCAAACCCTGCATCACAAGAAACAAATGACTGTTAAATCCATGCCATCGATTTTACAAATAAATACCAATCGTAATTTACATATTATAAATTATTATAGCTCATTATTTGAAGGCGAGAGAGGACCAGGACCTATAAAGAGCCCCTATCATAGCATTTGAAATGTTCCAATTTTTGTTTTAGGAGTTCCCAAAAACAGTTTAACATGCATGCAAGGATAAAAAACACTTTATTTGTCTTATAATATGCATTTATTTTTAACTGATTTGCTCACCGACTCCCAAATGATTCGTACAACGACTCATTTTTCCAAACCACTCCTTTGCGTGACGCTAATCGGCGGTGACTGGTCTGATGACAAACCAGTCAGTTGTTTGTTAGCATAATGCTTAAACATATTGATAAAGCACTGCAGTGCTACAAGACGCTCTATTTTTTATGACAACTCCAATAACAGCGACAAACATTTCACATATTTAAAAAAAAAATTGACATTGGAGACCTAGAAGCTGCGCTGAGCGTAACACACACACACACACACACATACTTATCGCGCCTTCCCTCCTCGCGCCCGACGCTACAAAACCGTTCAAAACCCATAAAAGCAACAATTATTAATAATACTTACAGGTTGTGATTCGAAGGAGGAAGCTGATCCATATACACTGGGTAAGTAAGTTATTGAGCCCTTGCGAATCCACATTTGAATTCATTTATGTTTTTGAACTAACTTTATTCGTCAATAAAATGATGAGAACACAATCGGGCTATACTGTTGTGGTATCGTTGCAAATATGAACTCTAACCACCGATTCTTCACATGCTCGTCCCTGGTAAATGAAAACAAACTTTGCATTGTAGAACACAGCGTCTTCTCGACATGATGCTATGATGAAGTATCTGAATGTGTAGACTTCAAGTTTACACATCCGTCTGCGCGCGCAGTAACTGGGCGCGTCCAGTATGTATCTACGTCACTACGAACCAGATAATGACTCGTTTCAAAAACAATTCATTTCATAGTCTCAGAGTCAACTCTCACTTTTGAAAGACAATAACTTTATATACGGTGCACTTTCAGATATAAATCTTTGCAATATGTTTTCATTCCCTTAGAGCTATATTCCACACCATATGAAGTCATTTTCAAAAATCCATGAGAGGGGCTCTTTAAAAATGTGTATTTGTCCCTGCCTCTTTCTTTCCTGAACTGTAACTTTGTTACAATTGTAAATCAAACAAAAGCTTGACATCCTGTGACAGCATTTACACCGAACTAACTACCTTTCTGTCAAGATTCTCTCAGTTATGAACAAACATTCTTCCAGTAATGTTAATAAAATGTTAGGTCAAAGTTATCTGCTTTTTACTAATATTTTCAAAATATTAGCACAAAAATGTATGTTTTGTATTAAACGTTTCAGTTGGATGTTCTTCATTTTTTAATTGCTATCTCTACTTGTTTCAGTATGTTCATACATGTGAATGTTATTTTTACAAAATGTTTGCGGAATGATAACATGGAATGTTTTCTTCGTTCCAACGTTCATATAACAGAGAAAAAAAGATTTTAGAAAATTTATATTATTTTTTTTTTGCTAACTTAAAGTTGTTCACTTTTAAAAAAAACTTTTGCTGATAATTTACTCACCCCATGTCATCCAAGATGTCCATGTCTTTCTTTCTTCAGTCGAAAAGAAATTAAGTTTTTTGATGAAAACATTCCAGCATTTTTCTCCAGATAATGGACTTCAATGGGAACCAAACGGTTCAAGGTCCAAAAGACAGTTTCAGTGCAAACTGAAGGCGACCATTTGAGCTTATAAAACTTAAACTTTCTTAATTTTTATTTATTAAATGAGCGATCGTTTCGCTTGATAAGACTCTTATTCATCGTCTGGAATCATTTAAAGCCCCTTGAACAGTTTGCACTGAAACTGTCTTTTGGACCTTGAACCGTTTGGTTCCCATTGAAGTCCATTATATGGAGAAAATCCTGGAATGTTTTCATCAAAAACCTTAATTTCTTTTCGACTGAAGAAAGAATGAGATGGACATCTTGGATGACATGGGGGTGAGTAAATTATCAGCAAAAGTTTTTTTTTTTTTTTTAAGTGAACTACTCCTTTAATGGGAACGTTAAAAAATAGGCCTATTTGTTGTTAGCTGAGTGCAGTATTCACTTTTCTTTAATCATTTCGATAAAAGTTTCTTTTGGTTTCCAAGAAATGTTATGTTTCTTTAGAGTAAAACATGGTTAATCATCCATATAGAATGTAAGTAATTTTGTATTTTAATGCACACCTGTACCCGATGGAACACTTGTACCCTTCCCTGTGCACACTACCGTCTGGTTAGTGCTCTTGATGCTGACGGTGTTGTTGGCGGTGCAGGAGACTGTAGCGCTCTCTGCTGGATGGAGGCTGATGTTCTGGTTCTGTCCGGATCGGACCAGATCTCCACTCCAGCTGTAGGAGGGATTCAGATCGCCGGACGACACACACCGAAGATGAAACACACACATGTTTTTCGACTCCCGCCAGGAATTACTGACCTCAATCTGGACATCTCTGATGAGATCTGGAGGGGAACAATACGAGAAATCAAATATATTTACTTTTAGAAAATAAAGGTTATTTTATGGTTGCTATGGTTACATGAAGAATCTTTCACATCCATTGTATATATATTTTCTTTATAGTGGGAATAAGTTCTTTACAATAGAAAAGTTTGCTTTTTGAATCATCATTCTTAACTGTCACCGTCCCACAGGTGGGACGTTTGCCACTATATTTTTAAAACAATAATATCTTAGTAAATACTTTAAATAATATTGACAAACTATATATCATTTGAAAGCTTACAATCTCTAGTTTCCATATTTGGTGACTGATTTTCAAAATATATTACAGAGGAGCCATAATTTATCAATATAAAACAAGAATATTTTCATACTCATAAGGCGTGTTCAGACCTTTATTTTAAAATAGCAGTAAACACGAAAAATCATAAAAAATGGTAGATACCTCAGTTTGTTTTCATGCCAAAAGTTCAAAAGATAGAATCCATTCAATTATTTTGGAAAAAAAAGGTCTGAAAAGTTTGAAATATCAAGAAAAAAATAATAAATTCACCATTTGTGACGTGGCAGCTAGCTATGACTTGCATGCGTGTTCTTTGTATGTGTTTCTTAGAGGTTCAATTCATATCAAAATCTGCCAAACTTCCCATGCTACTTCTGAATAGGATCTCTACTACAGAAATTGTATGAAAATTGTGAAAATAATAGTTCATATCACTCAAAACACGAATGGAAACGCAGGCGCCCTTATATGGGCAGTAATGGAGTCTGATTGTGCCCTGGTGAAAAAGTTTGGTACTGCGCTCAAACAAAATCTTACTGAAAGCTCATTTTTTAAGAGTATAAACCTAAAATTTGAAACACAACTTGTTCATATTTTGGGCTTTGATCTTTCTGACATTTTAGAGTAGCCCAGGTTTTGAAAATATATATTTTATGTAAAATATGAATAATTAATATTTTTACATTGTACATTTCCATAAACTCAAACTTCTATAACTTTTTTTCTGTTTCACTTTCTTAATTTATTTCACTTCTACAAAAATCTGCCAAATGTCTTCTTTAAAACAAGACCAATCATATGTCTATATTCCAAAGCATTCTTGAATTACAACCATTTAAGTTCGAAATGTGCATTTTCATGTCTATTCAAAAAAGGGGGGGTGACAGTTAACAGGTTAAAGATGTTAGGTTTCCTTCATAAAGGAACTATTTAACTTCAGCAAAATGACTATAACTTATTTAACGCCAGTTCTTGAGTGTGTATGTGTGTTTTACATTCTAACAGCACTGACAGGATGAATATCAAGTTAAACTCACCATGAACGTGCAGCACAAAGACTTTTGTTGGATGTTGAACAGATTTTCCTTCTGCAACAATAGTGAATCTTCCAGAATCCTGGAGTTTCAGATCTAATAATGTTATACTAATATTGTCCTTATACAACTTTAACCTTTTTTGAAATAATGGAGGATTCAGCGGTTTGATCTGATCTTTTTCATACACAGCAAAATCCTTCCCACTATATATCCACCGCACTTCCACAAGACCTTCTTTTGGATAATCAGCGATTAAATCCAGTGAGTCTCCGACAGCTTTGTGCACATGAACATCTGCAGCTCGTGACCCTACAAACACACAACACACAACTCTGGTTACAAATCATCACACAATCATGTCATATTTTCACATTCAACCTAAGATAATTAGTTTAGCAACAACATCATCAGACCCAAATGAGAAAAAGTGAACAGAGACGGCTAATAAACCATCAAAAGAAGCTCACATATTTGAGTTGAGGGTTTTCTATCATCTCACACTTCTCACTATTTCACTCTTATCTTCTTAAAAGCTGAAGCACAGTAAAGTCAGGCTGAAGAATAACTTTATTCACACCAGATATCTGAATCTCAGACTCATGACCTGTAATGTATATTTGCACAATGATCTTCATTTTCGCCTCATCGTTTCGGGTGTCCATTCTCGCTCTGTAAAGGAAGTGTTTCACACCCCCTCCTCCACACACACACACACTGCCAGCTTCTGTTTTATTCACTTACTCTCCACCATAAACTCAACAATGCATTTGTTTTATAAGTAGGGCACATTTGATATATATATATATATATATATATATATATATATATATATATATATATATATATCCATAGCTCTGAATGTCAAGTGAACTTAAAACACTGAAATAACACACACGTTTCATTAATGTTGGTTGCAACAGAAAAAACGTTCGGCTGCATTTGGACACATTCAGTAAAGATAAGACTTGAGGTTTCCTGAGCTGAACTTTCTCTTTTCTCACAGATTAAACACGGATAACAACATGCATGATCATTCTCTAAATAAGGGTAGCCTAAAATACATTTCAGCTGAAATAAAATCCTTTTAAAAATGGATTGCGGTAGTTAATTCTAGTTACTATGCCATACTTACGCACAAACATAGCAATATAAATATGCACTTTTTTTTTTTCCAGATGCAAATTAATCCATACACATCAAACACAAATAAGGGAGTGTCTTACAGCTGTTGAGGCATTAAGTGAGATGTTTCTGTACTCACCCTGGAGAAGGAAAAGCAGGAGAACTGCAGAAATGGAGCAGCGGGACTCTCGAAAGTTGTTCATGTTCGGATGTTTAGACGATCGACTGACCGAGGGGAACAGCAAAGAAACGAGAAAACTACTTCCTCACACACACACACACTCCGAGTCGCTCAGTTTGTGTACATCCACCAGCTGTCCTTTCGACACAAACAAGTGCAACACACACAGAAGACCTCCGAGACGCCTCCTGAGAGATGCGCTTGAACTTTAGGGGCTTTGCGGTCTCTGTGTCTGTTTGCGCCTCCCACTCACCAGACTAACATCTCTGACACCGCTAATGTGGAGCTGAAGCGTTTACTGTAAGTGAGCAAAGCATTGGCACCTCACCAGGGAGCGAAAGCGAAATCCCAGGAGGAATAAGGAAGTTAACTTAAGAAAGAGGCTCACTTTGTCAAAGGTGTTTTGCGTTCCTGTATCTGTTCGTGGAAACAGCTTAATGTGCGTCTGTAAAAGATTCATACGAGCTTGCACTTTGAATAATGCAACTGGTCCACATCAAGCTGGTGAACCACAAACTAACCTCAACCACACCATTGCAAGCGACTTGTGCCATTTTCACAGCGTCTAACACGTCTTTTTCAAAAGAGAAGGCGTCCAAATGTTGTTTAAAGGCAAAATATGTGCAAATAAAGCACATCCTTTGTTGTTTAGGCTACACATCAGCATTCATGAGCAGATATTTTAGGCTGTACAGGACATTGCAGAGCAGCTGAACAGAGGAAGTGAAACTCACATCGACAGAGGTTTTAGTTCTAATGGAAAGTATTACTCAGATGGTCAGCAGAAGACTCAGGAAAACTCACTTACTGGAAACAGGTTTCCAAACACATTACATCTCATCGAGCAGTGCACTCTATAACTGTGTAGGGGTTTCTTAGGAAAAAGAGAAGTCAAAGGCGCGCACCTGCGACCACTGCGCCATCTTGTGATGTGATCATGTGCAACAGCTCTGCGACACCAGCACACAATGGGCATAAAGCTAATGAGATGGCAGACAAAGTAGCAAAAGAATAGTAATCACATTGATTTTACAGTTAGCATCAGCAGGGCAGAACTCAAGATTATAATTAAAAAGAGATTACAGAAAAGGTGGCAAATGTGATGCAGAAACAAGAAAAGGGCAATGGTAAAATAACACTGTATAACTCAACTATAAATCCTTAAAGTTACAAATGTTATTCAGGCATTAGCAGTGAGTGATTTATGTCTTTTTTTGTGGTTTGATTGACGTTAATAAACAGACAGCGGCAGGAGTATAGGCTGCTGTCACTTTAATGTCGAATGCACTGATCCAATATATTGACCCACACTCGATTTCTTTCTCGACTGTTTACATTCACTTAAGATATAACCGACTCTGTGTTTAAGTAAATACTTACCAAGGCTGGCATTTTAAAATAATCATATGTTCAAGCAGGAAGACATGAGAGAGAACTCAATTCAGTTTTGAGACACTTTCTTCTGAGTGCAAATCCAAAATTTAATTGACCTATGGCTAAGCCATGCCCTCAAACGCGATGAGCCAATCATTCTCTGTTTCCACGTCCATTATGCATTGCAGTTAGTCAGTTTTCATTCGTTTTTCTTGTCATTTTAAGTCACATTTAACTACATCTGTCCTAAGTTAGGTCAAGAACACATTTGAACGTTTTTTTAAATCTCCAACGTAACGTTAGGCTAACGTTAGCCAAACAGTAGAAAACATTAAAACATTAACGTTAGCTTCTAGCTGCGGTGTACATCATGTCACTTAGCTTGGGGTCAGTGATGGGAGGTTCAAACTACATTTGTCACGATTTCCACACTTTGCCCCTAATGTAAATCAAGAATCTGTTGACATATGGCTATCATGACATATATTTTATATTTTGAGCGACAAGGATTTGTAAATTAACTTATTTTAACATTAATTATTTTGCACAGGCAACAATGTAACAAGTTGACTTGACCACTTGTGATAATAATAGATAGAACGATGTCCACCTCTCTCCATTTTGGTCATACACTTAAAGTCATTACGTAGGGTGAGAGGTTGATATTAATGGGCTAATACATTTTTTAAATATAATTTAATGAATAACGAGCTAGTTTTCAAACTACATTTCCAAATAATGATTTTGGGCACAGTGGCGCCCCCTGTCGTGTGCATAATGTACCCTAATGGGGTGTAATAACATGCAACAAAACAAGAGACAGTCAAAATAATCGGCCTATACCCATAGCAAAATTATCCCCAAATAATAAGGTGCTGCTGTTATGTCGTCTTCCGCTTTAAATGTCTCCCGCTTCCGCAGAACAGCCACAGAGTTGTGGACCAATTGTGTACAAACTGAGAGAGACACAGATAACTCAGCGTGAGAACTGACGAAGTCGTTTCCGCTCGTCTGTCTTTATCTGATGCCTCGGTCAGTCAGTCGTCTAAACGTCTCGACATGAACATCTTTTTAGATTCTCGCTGCTCCATTTCTGCAGTTCTCCTGCTTTTCCTTCTTCAGGGTGAGTAGCCAACATCGAGAAACATAATATCTCACTCAGATAACTCGATGTGAGACATAGCCTACTTATTTCCCGGTTTACGATTAGCAGGGGCGTCAGACAAGGGTGTCCTTTTTCACCATTTTTGTTTTTATTAGTCACAGAGTTTCTTAATATTTTCAATAATCGCGATTTTCAGGGCACTTTTCTAATTAGTCAATTGGCGGATCACTCCTGTTTGTTTTTAAATGACGAGGTTCCATTTGTTTTGGAAGCTTTTAAAAAAAACATTTTGTATGCTTCTGGTCTCACTGTTAGTCGGAATAAAAGTCAAATTATTATTCACAGACTCAGTCTTGTAAAAGGTCATATAGAAGGTATTGAGATCAAGAGTTCTGTTAGTTATTTAGGCATTTTAATAAGTAAATCACCTAAAGATAGAACTCTACTTGAGAATTCTAAATCCTAACGTTAATTCATTTTTAGAGTGAATTCCTCACCTAAAGTTTATGGGTCATTAATTCTATTTCTCATAAACTTTTGCATATTTAGGTCATGCTGTAGCTAGAGCATCCGTTGGTGAAATGCCCCGGTTATCTATTGGAGGTTTGAGCTTTCCAATGTCAAATTTAACAATTTTTGGAATAGAAGATTTCTTATTGGGAAGATAGCTGTCGTCCCAAAGCATTTTTACAAATGGAAATCTATTTTTCTACCATTAATATCCAATAATATAGCTTCACTTTAAAATTCTGCATAATTATCCTTGTAACTCTAATTTAATTTGGACGTCTCTTCACACTGCACATTCAGTAATTCTAATCATGTAACAATACCACATTTGTTTTTTGATTGTGGTTATGCAGAGAAGTTCTGTAAAAAAGTCGCCTGGCTTATTTTTCTGCTTATACAAGCACTTTACTTATGCAGGTTGTGAATGTGCTGTTTGTGATTTGGGACTCCGGGTTAAAAGAGATGGATGACAGATTAAAACTGCTTACTTTATGTGCATTTATTGTCTTATTTTTATTTTATTTTTATTTTTTGAACTTGATGCATGCATCCTGTGACTTTTGTAAAAAAAAAACAAAAAACAAAAAAAAACAAAAACAAAAAAAAACGTTCTTATTTGTATTTGGTGTATATAGGGAATTATAATGTACACATTTTACATTTGGATCTGTTACTCAGAGATGGTTTGGATTAGACAAACCAATTGTTTATACAATAAACTTACACCTGTGTGTTAATAGTCTAACCAAGAAAATTACAAAATCTACATCTTTCACAATTTGCTTTTGAATGTAAGGAGTCGGTCGGGGGGGTCAGTTAATATAATATTTTATATTATCATTTTTCATTTTAATAGTATGTTATGCATGGTCACAGACATCTCTTAAATCCTATATCACATAAACATAAACCTCCTTGTCCTTTTTTTAATACTGCTTTGTGGTCTGTATTTATATTTTTATATTATTTTACGTTCCTGTCAGCCATGATAAAACCTCATGTGCTAGTTAAACAATTGACATTGATGCATGCTGCTAACCATACTAGCTTAAAGTTAACATATATCACTCATTTAAATTGGCCATGTGCAGTGTGAGTGTCATCACTCGCTTCTGATGACTATGACATGATTGTGTGATGATTTGTAACCAGAGTTGTGTGTTGTGTGTTGTAGGGTCACGAGCTGCAGATGTTCATGTGCACAAAGCTGTCGGAGACTCACTGGATTTAATCACTGATTATCCAAAAGAAGGTCTTGTGGAAGTGCGGTGGATATATAGTGGGAAGGATTTAGCTGTGTATGAAAAAGATCAGATCAAACCGGTGAATCCTCCATTATTTCATGAAAGGTTAAAGTTGTATAAGGACAATATTAGTATAACAATATTAGACCTGAAACTCCAGGATTCTGGAAGATTCACTATTGTTGCAGAAGGAAAATCTGTTCAACTTCCAACAAAATTCTTTGTGCTGCACGTTCATGGTGAGTTTAACTTGATATTCATCCTGTCAGTGCTGTTAGGATGTAAAACACACATACACACTCAAGAACTGGCGTTAAATAAGTTATAGTCATTTTGCTGAAGTTAAATAGTTCCTTTATGAAGGAAACGAACAACTTTAAAAATACTATTTCAAAAAGCAATATTTCTAGTGTAAAGAACTTTTTTCCACTATAAAGAAAAAAATGTACAATGGATGTGAAAGATTCTTCATGTAACCATAGCAACCATAAAATAACCTTTATTTTCTAAATGTAAATATATTTGATTTAGCGTATTATTCTCCTCCAGATCTCATCAGAGATGTCCAGATTGAGGTCATTAATTCCTGGCGAGAGTCAAAAGACATGTGTGTGTTTCATCTTCGGTGTGTGTCGTCTGGCGATCTGAATCCCTCCTACAGCTGGACTGGAGATCCGGTCCGATCCGGACAGAACCAGAACATCAGCCTCCATCCAGCAGAGAACGCTACAGTCTCCTGCACCGCCAAGAACACCGTCAGCATCAAGAGCACTAACCAGACTGTAGTGTGCACAGGGACGGGTGCAAGGTTTTGTGTAAAAAGTTGAATACTTAAGTATTAATAAGGATTATATAATTAAAAATTGTATATTTTAAAATAAATAAAGACCACTAAAAACAGGCCAACTATTTTTAGACCCTTTGAATGCAAGGTTATGTGTCTATATTGGTTACATTGCCCTAAAATGATCTTCTGTTATTCATGGCGAATAATAGAAAAGGGGGCACAATTAAAAGCAGGATGATCTATACCCTTCACAGTTTATTAAAAATGTATTTAATAATGTTGGCTCAGACATAGTATTTGATTATTTGCAATTATGAAGCTGAAGCATTAATGAATAAAGGAAAAATAAGATATCTGTGTGAGATCTTTTAAAAATGCTACAACATCTCTTGTAAAAATTGAGACACACTCATACAAACTTCAACAATGGAAATAAGAACATTTTCAAATCTAAATACTGTTTTGTTTTGGGTGTATGGTCAATAAATAAAGGAATTAAAAAGATGGGCACAAAACCAGTTTGTCACACCCCACTTGTCATGTCAGGATCTGATTTTTGAGGGGGTCATGACCCCCGTAACCCCCGTGCAAATTACGTGCATGATCGTATGTTCACAATGTGTTTTCTTCATTCTTCAGAATATCTGATTGTAACAACAACAGTGCCAGGTGTCACTATTATATCACGCACTGAAAAAAATTATGTAGCTTTTCTTCACCGTTACTCTAGTCTAAGCCTTAACTGGTGCAAAAAAACCAGTGTATCACACAAATCACATCAGGTCATCTGTAAGGGATCTGCTTTTTACACTCTTTGAACACCAGATGGTATTGTGAGCAAATGAAGCTTGAGAAATGAACCCTTTTGAACCACTTGGCTGAAAAGCTTCAATGCTTCCTGAGGCTTCATCTCGTCACCACTATTGAAATGTATTGATGATAAAGCACACTTCTGATCAGTGCATCAGACCACTTCATGATTATGTCACCCGATTTTATTCTGTCTAAAACTCTGACACAGTGAAGTCAGTTAAAATAGGCATAGAAAAGACTTGCATAGAAGTCAAGAGCCGAACTCCTGGAAACACTGATCATCATAATGAGGACACCAATCATGATTTCAAATGTTCATTCCTCCTTTCTTCAGTGATTTTAGTCTTTAACATCAGGCGTCACTAATGGCCAATCATCACTGAATACTTTAACTCCAGCAGAGTTTCAGTGTTATTTTAACAGTCTGTAGTTTGAACACAAACACTGAATGGTGCTCAAAACAACAGATCCCTTTGTCTCATGGTTGCATTACCATCGGGTGTGGGCCACACCCGATGGTAATGCAACCATGAGACAAAGGGATCTGTGTGGCCTGTCAATTATTCCTATAGTAGGTGCCGAACGGGGTCTTCTGTGAGGCCTTTACAACAAATTGTGTTGTTGCTTCAAAACTTTTGACTCTGTGCTCTACTTCGCCATCTGGTGGTCAGTAAAAATTCCTACACCAACTGTGTCATTCAATGTTTTGTTCATTGGGATGTCATTATAAGGTTTAATTTGTATATTTAATAAGCATATATCATTAGCAAGAAGGCAGTATGTGTGTGCAGGGATAGTTTTGCGAAGACATGGCACCCCTAGAGTGGGACCCAAGGAACCGGGGTCTGAGCCACAGAGATATGAAGCCCTCTGCGCATCACTTTTATTTGAGGATTGGCCCCTGGATGAAATGGATGATACAAATTTCTTTGTAAAATTTAGCATTATTCACTGATGGTCCAGGTCACACTTAGTGTTTGAGTCACCATTAAATGTTTGGTCAAAAACGCTGAAACTGCTCTCATGTGTTGCCTAAAAATTTCTCATATTTGAAATGTTCTCCTCTTTTCAAATTTGATCAAATTTATCCTCTTTGAACAGCTTATTCAAAATGCTTTTTCATAAATACAAACGCTGTCTCTGTGTGGACTTTAGGCTATGGTTTATTAACCCCAGAGTCTCTCAGAGAGATAGGGGTTTAAGTCAAACCATGGTGTAAAATAGTCCCTACATCACAAATCACAAATCACCTCCCTTCCCCATCCACACACACATAAAGCACCAAATGTTGGGCCCCGGCACAGAACCAATGGATGGGCCCCTTACAACACCCAACACCAAAGACTGCTTTATTTTCACTATTAATCATAACTTTTTTTATATATATATCTCACAAAGTATTCATTTTACCAATTGCAATAACATAGCAAGAAATTTTAAAACAGACTAATTTTAACTGTGTAACTATTTTATTTATTAGAAAATAATACATAAATTAACATCAATAATATAAATGTAAATAATAGCTATTAAAATGTAGCCTTTTGAGCGGATGGACTTCTGATTTGTCGCTACACTCTTATGCTTAACATACTTCTCTGTGATTGGCTACAGTGCTCAACACACTTCTCTGTGATTGGCTACAGTTCACAGCGCTGCTAACAGGCCATGGGCCGTTTGAATGCAGCCGTCCATCTGCGGGTTTTTCTAATTAAGTCTCTGTACTCAGTAAGACTGTGCAGAAATACTGGTATCGTCACATTTGTAAGTTGTTTTTACTCTTTTCTTTTTTTAACACGTAATATTAGGCTTCATTATTTGTAGTGTGAGGCTCCTTTCCATGCCACAAGCTGAATTTAACGCTGGACAACACAAGACCAAACCATTCCTGCTTTAGGGGGAAATGGGGGGATCGCTTACATGAGAGAGCACAAGCTGCTGGCCAAATAAAGAACATTTTTCAGTTTTAAGGATGAGAAATTAAGTCTTGTGAATTTTTATTCCTTTGTTATTATAACTATGTGATTTTGTCACTATGTCATTATGGATGATCAATATCTGTGCCCCTACTTCACTGGTCGTACCTTTTAAAGGAGTAGTTCACTTTTAAAAAACGTATTTAAAACTTTTGCTAATAATTTAATCACCCCCATGTCAACCAAGATGTCCACGTCTTTCTTTCTTCAGTCGAAAAGAAATTAAGGTTTTTGATGAAAACATTCCAGGATTTTCTCCATATAATGGACTTCAATGGGAACCAATCAAGGTCCAATATATGGTCTTTTTTTAACCATCCATTCCTTTTATGTGATTATTTGGTTCAGTCATTACACAGCATCAGCCATACTCAGCAAAATACACAGTTGAACTTTCAGCACCAATATCCGATAACAGACAGATAAGCAGCTGAAAGTTCTTAATAAAAAAAAATATATATACACATTGTGAAATGAACACTTAAATGAACGATAATCAGCAATCACATAAATATATGCACACAAATAAAAAAATAACTAGTGTCTTTTAAACAACAAATATCAACATGCCAACCCAGAAAGCCACATAGTGGCGGCCCACATATCTGTTACACGTTCCAGATATTTGGGCTCCAAATAAAGTTAAATGCCTACTCAATATGTATGCTGTTTATTACTCTCCAAAACTATTTTACCACTACAGTTTTGCTCCAAACATGAGCGGGGAAAACACAGGAGGAGCTCAGCGAGAGACCAGGGAGAGTTGAGTCTACACGGCTCTCATGCTGAGGTTAAATCCAGCGGCTCATTGTTGATCACAGTCAGACTGCGTGAGTCCAGATTGACTCATGGAGGTAACCATAGAAGAAACCGCTCCAGTGCCCGCGACCGAGAAGAAACCAGCAGCCAAACGCATCAGAACGGGACCAAACGTCCGCGATCTGATCATTAAGGCTGTGTCCGAGTGTGAGGAGAGGAGAGGTGTGCCTCTCCCCGTCCTGAAGAAAGCGCTCGCTGCCGATGGATACGATGTGAAGAAGAACAACTCTCGCATCAAGATCTCCATTATGAGTCTGGTGAGTAATGATATCCTGATCCGGACTAAAGGAACCGGCGTCTCGGGCTCCTTCAGACTCAACAGGAAAAGGAAACAGACCGTGGCCAAGAAAAAGTCAAAACCCGCCAAGAAAGCGGCTAATAAAGCCAAGAAACCCTCTGCCGCTAAGAAGACCAAAACTGCAGCAGCAAAGAAGGTGCAGAAATCCCCGAAGAAGTTGCAGAAATCACCGAAGAAGCTGCAGAAATCACCGAAGAAGCTGCAGAAATCACCGAAGAAGTTGCAGAAATCACCGAAGAAGTTGCAAAAATCGCCGAAGAAGGTGCAGAAACCCGCCGCTAAAAAGCTAACTAAGAGCCCCACGAAGACAAAGAAACCAGCGAGTCCTAAGAAAACACCCAAGAGCCCGAAAAAGGCAAAGGCAACCAAACCCAAAAACAGCAAAAGCTAAAAAGACAGCAGCCAAAAATAAATAAACGGTCTTGTTTGTTGTGTGTTTAATAAAAAAACGGCTCTTTTAAGAGCCACTCAGTAATTCACTGTAAAGAGTGTTATTTCACGTGTCCAATCAAGATGATATTTGCTTCCCTTTATTTTAAAAGTGAAAGCAAATTAATGGACCTGTATGTTAAAATACATGTAGATTTCCTTATGGAGAATGTTGATGTTTTCATTCTAGAGAAACATAAACTTTTGTTATGGCAATGTCTTAAAATGTATTTTCTCTTTCTAACATTTAAACTTGTACCATATTATTAGATGATCAGTTTACTTTATGCATACACATGAATGACAGCTTAATGATTTTTTTTTGTTTTTGTATCTTAAATGGTTGAAACACCTAAAATAAAATAAAGCAGTTTCCAATAACTGTGGGGACGAGCACTTAAAGTGTTTGGAATTATATATGTAATTAATTAAACAAAAATATTGACACATTGATGGCTTAACAAGCCGTAATTGTTCATAAATAACATATTCTTTTTTTTTTTATTAAAATAACTGTAACCCTGACGTGTTTTTCAAGTGGAAAGAAAAATGGACATTTCCATAGAATGTAAATATATGTTTACATGTTTATACATGTAACTATTCAACCATTTTGCTTACCGACTCGTTGAAATGTTAATACGCTGTTATTATTTATAAATAATTTAAATGAAGCCCATTCGTCTTTAAATGGAAGTGTAGCGGCATGAAATGATACTACAGCGTGACGTGTTTGAGTGTCAGTAGCAGAAAGGGGAGGGGTGTTGGAGGGAGGATCACTGATTGGATGAGAATATTTGCAGATTTAAGCCAATAGGAGACTGACACACTTTCTATATAATCCACCTCACAACAGGGAAAGCGCATTGTATTTGATTCTCACGCAATTCAGAAACAAATCTTAGTCATAATGAGCGGAAGAGGTAAAACCGGCGGAAAGGCTCGTGCCAAGGCCAAGACTCGCTCTTCCAGGGCCGGACTGCAGTTCCCCGTCGGCCGTGTTCACAGACTTCTCCGCAAAGGCAACTATGCCCAGCGTGTCGGTGCCGGAGCTCCGGTGTATTTGGCCGCTGTGCTCGAGTATCTGACCGCTGAGATCCTGGAGTTGGCTGGAAACGCCGCTCGGGACAACAAGAAGACCCGCATCATCCCTCGACACCTGCAGCTGGCGGTGCGCAATGACGAGGAGCTCAACAAGCTTCTGGGTGGCGTGACCATCGCTCAGGGTGGTGTGTTGCCCAACATCCAGGCCGTGCTGCTGCCCAAGAAGACCGAGAAGGCCGCGAAGGGAAAGTAAACTGACGGAAGTTTCTCTTCAAACCAAAGGCTCTTTTAAGAGCCACCCAATTTCTCTCCGACAGAGCGATTTCATGAATCCTATGTTTAAATTAGGATCAGCCCAGTATATGTTCAAAACAGTTACTTAACATTGTAAGTAGAATTTTGTAGAAATAAATGATTTCTAAGCATTTTTAATGGTAGTAACATGATATATTTATAATACACACTGTGCGGTTGTCCCACCCCATTTCATCATGTGATGTATTTATAGACCATTTCACAAGATGTAAACAACACTGGTCCAGAAGCACTTCCTGTTTCAGTTTTTTAACACTACATAAAAAAGCTGGGATAAAATACAACCAACAGGACATTTAAAACTGAATCAAAAGTTAAATAAACATCTTTAATATGTTTTCTTTATTTGTGAAATAAAGAAAACAGTTACAAACTGAAACAAGAAGTGCTCCTGGACCAGTGTTGTTTACATCTTGTGATTTTTAATATTACTTGGCATAAGTACAACTTTTTTTTTTTGAACAGTTATGGGATATGATGCACAAATATACAACTGATCTAATCTATGCTCCAGCTTGCCTTTGTGCAACGTTAACCGTTACCCGTAAAAACACTGAGCTTGAAAGCAGAGGCGCACAGCCATTAGCCAGGACACCAACTTGTGCGCCATCCACGCCCTGAGAGTCGCCATCATGCCCAAAGACATCCAGCTGGCCCGCGGAGAGCGCGCTTAAATCCACAACTCACAAACCCAAAGGCTCTTTAAAGAGCCACCTCAATAACTCTAAGAAAGATTTCTATATAATGGTATTTTGAAATATTTGATATATTTTAATATAGCATTTTTATGCCACGTTGATTTCTATTTTTAATACATTAAAGGTTTTTATATAGTTAAATATAGTTGTAAATATTTCTTATATTCGACTTATTTCCACTACTATAAGGCATCAAAAGACTGAACTGGACTTGGAACTGCGTAACTGGTGACGTTTACTAGAACCGCCCATGAATGTGGTTTCAACTAGGTCCGCTAGCTGACTATAAGTCCTTGTTCTCCAGTGGCGTTATCTGTATTCGGTTGTTTTGAGCTGAAGAGTATTTGTCGACATGTCTGGAAGAGGAAAAGGCGGGAAAGGACTCGGGAAAGGAGGCGCTAAGCGTCACCGAAAGGTTCTCCGCGATAATATCCAGGGAATCACTAAACCCGCTATTCGTCGTCTTGCTCGACGTGGGGGTGTCAAGCGTATTTCTGGCCTGATCTATGAAGAGACCCGCGGTGTGTTGAAGGTGTTTCTGGAGAACGTCATCCGTGATGCTGTGACTTACACTGAACACGCCAAGAGAAAGACCGTCACCGCCATGGATGTTGTGTACGCGCTGAAGCGACAGGGACGCACTCTGTACGGGTTCGGCGGTTAAGAGACTCACGAAGAAGAAAAACCCAACGGCTCTTTTAAGAGCCACCCACACTTGCACATAAAGAACGAGTTTCTAGTTGTCTAGATGTGTAGTAACGCAGTAAACTAATGACTTGTCTAACATGGATAAAAAAAAAAAAACCCTGATGTAAATAACAAAAGAATTGGACGAACTAATTTACATTTTCATCTAGAAACGATAGTGGAACACAAATTACCAAACCATCAAATTAAGTTACCATACCCATTTTCACTCTGCCTGCTGGATTCACTATAACCTCATCTTCCTAATCAACAGCCAGCTGTGTTTTATACCGTTTATAGGTGTTACAGACAATGTGTAGATAATATGTGAATTACTGATCATTACAGATTCAATATTTATTTAATTCTAGCCCCTCCTTACAAATATAATACATTCGTATTCCAACCTGGTTTGGCCTCATGCGATTCCATTGTGGTGCTATGTTGCATTGAGGCAACACAGATTGTTGATATTTCATGATATATAATGATAAAGATTAAATATAATGTAAAGTTCTTGAAAATACTTCTTAACTTACTAGTGTATATGACTCATATTTTTGTGGGTGATTAACTACGCAAATTATTTGAAATTAACTTTTCATTGGGGAAAATATGGAGACGTGCACATGTGCTGAAACAAGACACAAAATGGCCCCTGTGGGTCATGTGACCACTACTTTGCACTTTCATTGATTGGTATTTGAGTTCTTCTACCATGAGATAGCGAAGGTTAGGTCTCATTTTATGAAACAAACAAACCAACCAACAACCAAACCTACCAATTATATTAGACCATGTTTCCTGGAGGCAACACCATACCAAGCATAGAGGGTTAAGTGATTTGAATTTTTACTTTGCTATATTCACAGTTCTGCTTGTAGTTAATTTAACATCGTTATAAAGACTCTCGAAAGTTATTGCTCATTGTTTGTTTTATATAAATACTATTTTTAAATGTAGATTACCGTATATATGTAACGAATCTTGTCGCTGTCATGACTGGATCTGGTCTCTCGCTCGTATTCTGCGTTGTGATTTGACCAATTCGCTCATTCGTTCTTCATGCACTCAGATGAACAGGAGTCAGTGGGCTCAATTCCTCAATAAATTGCAAGGACACATCGTTTTTGTTGATTGGTATTTACTGAAAAGTGAAATATAACATCCTCTCAGTGGTGTTTTGCTGCAGACATAACATGTATCTAAATAAAATATAAGATAAAAAAAATTAGCAACCTCGTGGCCTTGCTAACGAGAGCACTATCGGACGGAAGTTTACAAAAGGCCATAACTAATCAAATATATGTTACTACTTGAATTAAATTGTTTAAACATTGGCTAAACCAAATCACAAACACAAAATACTTGCAATCGCTAGTCATTTTGCGTCATAATCGCACAAATATTGCCAAAATGAGACAGAGCATGACCATACGCACCAACAGCTCGCGTTCCCCGTAGCAACCACGTCAAACCACGCATTTTTTGTCTGCAGCTCCCAAACAAACCACACGAGGGCACTATTTTAACATGAAATGAATAACTGCTGTTGAATTCAGGAGGATTCACAATAAAACTAAATACAAATCTAACTCTGTTACATATACATAATACAAGGCTAGTTCTGCTTCTAAATAAATGTTTCAATTATATAATCCTCTACGTACGAAAGAAAATCTGAAATGATTCACAATAATCTATTCATTCCGGAAAAATGCGGGAAATTGAAACAAAGAAATGAATTCATGAGGGATGGTAGTTGTCGATGGGCGTGATTAACATTTCAAAGCTTCTGATTTGGGTCGCCTACAATTCAGGGAATGTTTTATCTGCCCAATGAAATCGTTCTATTTTTTGGTCCAGGAAGCCGACCAATCCCAGAGTATCGTTCCTCCCTTTTAAAATTAGCATAGAGCAGTGGATAAAACCCGCCTGCAGTGACACAGAGAGCTACAGTTCTTTTAAGTTTCACTGACCGAACTTCTGACTGAAGCATTATGCCTGAACCAGCGAAGTCTGCGCCCAAGAAGGGCTCGAAGAAGGCCGTCACTAAAACCGCCGGCAAGGGCGGAAAGAAGCGCAGAAAGTCCAGGAAGGAGAGCTACGCGATCTACGTGTACAAAGTCCTGAAGCAGGTTCACCCCGACACCGGGATCTCCTCCAAGGCGATGGGGATCATGAACTCTTTCGTCAACGACATCTTCGAGCGCATCGCCGGTGAAGCGTCTCGTCTCGCTCACTACAACAAGCGCTCCACCATCACATCGAGAGAGATCCAGACCGCCGTGCGTCTGCTGCTGCCCGGAGAGCTGGCCAAACACGCCGTGTCTGAGGGCACAAAGGCCGTGACCAAATACACCAGCTCAAAGTAGAGCGAGTCCGCTCAACAACACAAAGGCTCTTTTAAGAGCCGCTCATATTATCTGTAAAGAGCAGTTGTTGCATATTTAATCACATGTAGAGGAATATGCCGTAGAACAATAAGGTGTTATGTTAAGACTTTTATGGCTGGTTTCAAAGTAAAAGCTTAAACTCCCAGACTAAAATTCATGCCATAACGTAAAATCGATTTATAAGTGTTTGATTTTTGATGTTTTGTTTTTGCTATAATATAAAAGTATTTTTTTTATCAACGAATTCTTTACCTTTTACCGTTGTGTTATCCAGAATAGCTGAAAGTAGCGATATGTAGGCTATATTCTTTTTATATTATTATCATTTACAATTATATTCATGGATATATGAACAAATTTTAAGCAACTCTCAGCACGAATACAAATGTTTAATATTTTCTGTAACATTTTGGTTGCATTTTTTATTATGTTAAAATGCTGTAGTGCTTTAAGCCTGTTCCTGTATCCAGGTAAAATATCATCCCTCACACGAGCTTTAATATGTTTAGCAGCACGGCTGTCTGATCAGAGGACACAAAGACTCTTTTAAGATCCTATCTCTTAACTATAATCTTCATCATTTTAGTTTTAGCCCCAAAATAGCATTGATGTTACATTATAAACCAGTGAGCAACTCTGGCCCTCGAGATCCACTTTCCAGCAGAGTTCAGCTATGAAAAACACCACACAACATTATTATTATTTATTTATTATTACAGTTTATGGTTATGAAATATATAGTTTTCAAAGGTTTATAAACACAATATAATTTTTATAATGAAATCAATTGCCTACATTGGGTGAATGCCTCACTAATGAGTTCCTGATTTGTATATTTATAATGATAAAGGTAAGAAATAAGAGTTAAGAGCAAGAGCGCTGTTTTTCCTGGAAAAGCATATTGGCGATACATAAGCATACATACACTGGTGTTGTGTAAATGAAGACTACGGCACTGCACACACACATTATTTTACTGTAGTTCACTCGAGCTGAGCACACAGGCCTAAAGACACAAATTATAGAATCTATCATGGTTTTGTCCGATTTCCATTCTAAGGATGTTCATCTTGATAATACTGTAGTATTACTTTGTCTTCTGGGTAAATTTCCTCTTCATAAAGCCAGAAATGTTCACTGTAATCCCAATCTTAGAATGATCTCCTCTGATATAAAGTCACTTTTACTTCCTTTAAGAAAATGTCAAAACCTTTGAACACAAGGGCTTCGAAAAAATCTATCATCAATGAGTCTGTTGAAATTAACCTTTCATTTAAAAAAGCCAAAAGAATGAACACGTCATACGCATGTCGTCACCATTTTCAAATGAGCATTTTTGCATTTACAGGGAGATGATAAGGGTCTCGTTTATGAAAACATAAAAAGTCTTTCGTCAGGCTCGTTTATTCTCTGCAAAAATACCCCAATAGCCTTTGTTTGTATCACAAATGTACATTCCACATTAAATTACAATCGCAAGAATCAGTTCTGTCAAAAAGTTTATTCCTCTGTTACGGCGTACTGACTTTGGTCTTCAGCAGATGAAACTGTGAAATACACACAAAACATTTTCAACATTTAAACGGACGTCTTATTTTTTAAAAAAAAATTATTATTTTTTTCCACTGCAGTTATTGCTTTCATGAATGACCATCATCTGTTCAAAATATAGATCTAATACTAAGACAGGCAGTAAAGGCATTTCTGTCAGTGAGAATATGTGAATAATTTGTGTGTGTGTGTGAGAGAGAGAGAGAGAGAGAGAGAGAGAGAGAGAGAGAGAGAGAGAGAGAGCTTGTGTGTGTGTGTGTGTGTGTGAGAAGTTTTACCTCTCGCTCTGTAACATTTGAAAAGCAGCACGACTGTCGCTAACAGATACGGAGAAGCTGCCAGAAGAAAACTGAGGATTTTGTAGACAGAAATCTGATCTGGAAAACAGAAACACAAGAACATTATTGACCAACAAAGTTTTGTGCGTGAATGCTGCAACACTACTGACTGACTGATAGTGTCCGACTGCGATCTTAAACGCCATAATTAAACTGCATAAACTGGTATTTATAATAATTTTACACAGAAGAAGAATACACTTATTGACAGAAATAAGAGCTAGAGGCTATATAACAGTATATAATAATGGTGTGGCGTTTCTCATTAAATCATCTCACCATTAAAGACTTCAGTGACTGAGATCCAGCTGTGGAGAGACTGTCCTCTCTCTGTTTTACAGGAGTAAAAACCCTCATGTGACTTTGAGACAGTAGTGATGCTCATCTCTCCTGTCGTCTGATTCTGGATCAGTGATCCGTCTTTATAGAAATCAGCGCTGGAGATCGAGGAGTTTGTAGATCGATGTAAACAGTGTAGAGTCAGAGTCTCTCCCTCAATCACAGGATCAACAGAACTCTCCAGAATCACCTCACCGTCTACAAACACGAGACATACATCAACAGCTGCTAGTGATGATACTGTACTGATGATACTGATGTACTGATGATGTAGTGATGATAATGTATTAATCAGACCCATATTTCAATTATTGATGTGGAGGGCCAAAATGTTCACTATCAATAATCTGGGAAACTGACACTTTTATTCAGCAGGGATTCACTATCAAATGTGACGCATTGATCAAAAAAGACATTTATAATGTTACAAAATGTTTAAACTCCAAATAAATGATGTACTTCAAAGTTTCTATTCATCAAAGAAAAAAAACAATTCCACAAAAAATATTGAAATATTTTCAACATTGGTAATAATCAGAAATGTTTCTTAAGCATCAAATCATCACATTGTACTGATTTCTGAAGGATCATGTGACTCTGAAGACTGGAGTAATGATGCTGGAAATTCAACTTTGATCACAGGAATAAATGACATTATATTCACATGTCCACAAGGGTTATAGGATATATATATATATATATATATATATATTCAAAGTTCTTTACATGGAAGAAATTAAAATAATCAAAGGAAATCAGAATAATTAAAACAGTTTAGAATAAAAAAATCATCATAATAAAAATAATATACAGTAAATAATTAAAACAATTGATAATCAAAAATAAAATGAAGTACAGTAACAATATATATATAAAATCATACACTTAATTATAATGTAGTGTATTTTATTTTATTATAGTGTTAAAATCTTGATATTATTATAACATTGTTTAGTCTTGAACAGATTAGTTGTTTGTTGTTATATAGTTGTGAGTGGTTGGACTCACCGTGTACAGTGATGTTTCGAGGACGGCGTTTGTCTCCAGATTCAGACTCACACCAGTACACTCCAGAGTCAGATGTGCTGAGAGAGTCGATTACACATCGAGATCCTGTTTGTTTGGCACAGGTTTGTGTGTGTGTGTCTGTGTATCTTCTCACTGTCCATCCAGCAGAGTTACTCTGATCCACACAGCTCAGAGAGAGAGACTGAGATGAGAAGTGTTGACTTCTGCTGGGATCGATGACCAGAGACACTGAAGCAGAAACACCTGAAAAGAGGAAAATCTCCATCAGAACTGACAGCACAGAGACTGCAGTGAAACACAGATGCGGATGAGCACAAGCAGAAACCCTCACCAGTGAGCCACAGTGTGTGTGAGCTGCTGTTGTGTGTGTAATAGGCTGGTCGTCCTCTCTCTGCTCTGCACGTATAAACTCCTGTGTGCTGTAGAGCAGCAGGACTGAGAGTGTAAGATCCTCCAGCTCCTCTGCTGCTGTCTGACAGATGATCATGATCTCTGAACCAGCTGAACGTCCAGCCTGTAGAGGAGCCTGAAACCTCACAGATCAGAGTCACTGATTCTCCTTCAGTCAGCCACGGCTGTGGAGACACTCGCAGTGATGCCTGAGCTTCAGCTGAACAAAACATCACGAGTTACAGAGCCGTAGAGAAACTGACGGAGAAGCTGATCACACACACACTCACACACACACACACACACACACACACTCACCTGAGACTGTCAGTGTAACAGCATCACTGCGCTGAGAGCTGAGAGTGTGTATCAGTCCTGTACAGGTGTATTTACCGCTGTGAGAGAGATCGACACTGCTGATGATCAACTCTTGTGTTGAGGTTCGGCTGACCGTGTTTTTATTTCGGTCGTTGGTTCCCTCTATTTCCCATCTGTATGTCCACTCAGTGTCTGTGTCTCCTGCCCACTTTATATCACATCTGAGAGTGACTGTTTCTCCTCTAAACACTCGTTCATCAGGTCGTACCGTCACCACAGCTTTAGGACTCACTGTACAAACACAGATTATTGCATTTATAGTTTCAGAAGTTGTGTAGATATTGTCTCTGATCTGTATTTGTTGCATCACACACTACAGTCTCTCTCACCTGTAACATTTACCCACAGTGCATCACTGTATTGTGTGTAATAGACTGGTTTCCCTCTTCCAGCTCTACACCAGTACTGGCCTCCATCAGACACTGAATCAATCTTCAGGCTGTAGGAATGTGTTTGTGTCTTCTCTGTCTCGGGGTTCAGTGTGTGTTTGTACCAGTAAATGTCCCAGTCTCTGGTTAGATTCATGCGACAGGTCAAAGTCACTGTGTTTCCAGTCAGTGCAGCTCCTGCAGGATCTGATGTGAGTTCAGGCTTCGGCTGTAGATCTGCAGGAGAACAACAACAGATTCAGATCCTCCAGAGTCAAATAAATGAGCATTTGTCTGCATCAGAAAAATCATTCTGGCATTCTGATCTGATCTGGCTCAAACTTAAATAGAGGTTTTCCTGTATTAATACACATATGAGTAAATATTGATCTAAACAGCATCACAGTATCATGATCAATGTTATCAATCCAAAACCCCCAAAAATATATTAAATTAATAGCACGCACGGGCAGCTCTCGAGGGGGCTGCTTGTGAATTTTGTGAGGCTATGCCTATTAGAGTGCTCCGCTCCCGGCTGGCGTGCTTTTACGAGCACAGTCAGGCTCGCGTTCCCCAGGGTTCCGGTCCCGCATTTGTCGAGGCGATGCGGCGATTGAGATCCTGGGGTTCGCAGCGGGATCTGGCGGAGGAGAGTGAGAATGCTGAGGCATTTTCTCGCTCTCCATCGGCTGATCCCGCGGCCTCTGAGAGTGGTGTGGGAGCCCGCGCTGCGGTTTCTCCTGCCCGCGATCAGGTCCCGATGCTTGAGCTGTCTGCTTCTGAGGAAGTGGACGTGCTCAGCATTGATGCGGACGACCGTGATCTCAGCGCGCCATCACGCGGCCTGAATTATGAGGAGCTGGTGGAGGTTGTGACGCGCGCTGTGGCCAGACTAAACATCAGCTGGCCACAACATGAGGAAACGCAAGTCACAAGTAAAATGGACGAGCGTTACCTGCAGCGCAGGTCACAGCCTCACCGCCGGGGTCTGCCGTTTTTCCCCGATCTCCATAAAGAGATCACGAGAACGTGGGAAAGACCGCATTCGTCCCGTGTTTCGAGTCCCAGTATAATAGATTACAGCAATGTTTTGGGGTCTCGAGATATGGGATATGGGAAGATGCCGAAGGTGGAGGAGGCTTTAGCGAGCTATCTCTCTCCCGAATCGGCGTCTTTCCTAAAGACCCCGGTGTTGCCTAGTAAGCCCTGCAGGGAAACATCTGCATTAGTGGGCAGGGCTTACATGGCGGCGGGTCGGGCTGGTTCATGTCTGCACTCGATGGCGATTTTGCAGGCATACCAGGCCGACCTCCTGAAGGATTTGGATGAGGGGGAGGGGCCTACTCCTGAGGACATCTCAGAGTTGAGGAAGGCCACAGATTTGTCTCTCCGGGCCACTAGGGAAACAGCCCGCGCTATTGGCCGCTCTATGGCGGCCATGGTGGCCACGGAGAGGCATCTGTGGCTGAACTTATCTGGGATTAAGGAGAAGGATAGGTCCTTCCTGCTGGATGCGCCGCTTTCGGCTTCTGGCCTGTTCGGCGACGCCGTTAATTCGGTTGTCGACAGGTTTCAGGAGTCGAGAAAACAATCTGCGGCGTTCCAGCAGTACCTCCTCCGGAAAGCGAAAGCCAAATCTAGTAGGGTGGGGCAAAGCGATCAGCCCCAGCCATCAGCCAGCTCCTCCCACAGGGCAGAGCATAAGGAGAGCGTTTCCTCTAGAGCCCCCCCTCCGGGGTCTTGGCAACAGAGGAAACGCTCCCAAAAACCGAAGTCCTCCGGTAACAGCGTTTCGGGCCGCATCAATTTCCAGCGAAAAGACGATTTTAAAACATCGGTTATGGTCGCAGGGACCGACTACAGCCTGCCAATATTCAGCTTCAGGTAGTCCAAAAGAATACCATGAAGACACCAGAGGCCAGCCTCGAGAGGCTGGTACCCTTAGTAGATTTTGTAGAGGGATGGTATCATCTTCCCAACATATCTCCATGGGTCCTGCAGATAATACGAGTTGGGTACAGACTGCAGTTTGCGCACCGCCCCCCCAAGTTTTCTGGGGTGGTGCTCACTGCGGTGGTCCCAGAGCAGGCTCAGGCGCTGGAACAAGAAGTACAGACTCTGCTGTCGAAAGGAGCCATAGAACGTGTTCTTCCGGTAGACAGGGAGTCCGGGTTTTACAGCCGGTACTTTATAGTTCCAAAGAAGGATGGGGGGTTAAGGCCAATTTTGGATCTCAGGGTGTTGAACCGGTCTCTGAGAAAGTTCAAATTCAGAATGTTGACCATTCCAACAATCGTGAGTCAAATCAGGTCCGAGGACTGGTTTGTTACGATAGATCTGAAAGACGCCTATTTTCACATCTCCATCCTTCCATGTCACAGAAGGTACCTGAGGTTCGCTTTCGGGGGCGAAGCATACCAATATCGGGTTCTTCCGTTCGGCCTAGCACTCTCTCCCCGCACATTTACCAAGTGTATGGACGTGGCCCTTGCTCCACTGAGACTTCAGGGGATTCGGATATTGAATTATCTCTACGACTGGCTTATTCTGGCCCAGTCTCGGGAGATGGCAGTTCGGCATCGAGATGTCGTTCTTGGCCATATTCAAAAATTGGGGTTAAGACTCAATTTGAAGAAGAGTGTGCTAGAACCGTCCGAGGGTACGACTTTTTTGGGAGTCGTGTGGAACTCGACTACAATGCAGGCACGGATGTCTCCCGCACATATCGAGTCAATTCTGGCGATGGTATCCAGGGTGAAGCTAGGCCAAGCCATCACTGTGAAACACTTTCAAAGGATGCTGGGCCTCATGGCAGCGGCATCCAGCATTATTCCTCTGGGCCTCCTTCACATGAGGCCCCTCCAGTGGTGGTTGAAGACCAAGGGGTTCTCACCCAAAGGGAATCCATTCCGTATGATCAGAGTAACGCGCAGGTGCCTTCATTCTCTGCAAATATGGAAGAAGCCTTGGTTCCTATCCCAAGGGCCAGTGTTGGGGGTGTCATGTCGCCGGGAAACCGTTTCGACAGACGCCTCCCTTACTGGCTGGGGCGCGGTCATGGACGGCCGCTTTGCCAGGGGTCTGTGGCAGGACCATCATCGCACTTGGCATATAAATTGCCTGGAGATGATGGCTGTGTTCAGGGCTTTGAGGAGCTTCCTCCCATACATCAAGGGTCGCCACGTCCTAATACGGACAGACAATACGTCAGTGGTGGCCTATCTGAACCGACAAGGGGGACTCAGATCGCGCCCTCTGTGCAAACTGGCGCATCAGATTATCCTTTGGTCCCAGGGGAAGATATTGTCAATAAGGGCAATGTATATCCCAGGGGTTCAGAATCGGGGAGCAGACATCCTGTCGAGGCAGGGGCTGAGGCCCGGGGAATGGAGACTTCATCCGGAGGTGGTGAAGTCGATATGGGAGAGGTTCGGACCAATGGAAGTGGATCTGTTTGCGTCTCAAGAGACGTCCCACTGTCCACTTTGGTTCTCCCTCTCACATCCAGCCCCGCTGGGGTTGAATGCCATGGTACAGGCTTGGCCGAAGCTTCGCCTGTACGCATTTCCCCCGATCGCTCTGCTCCCAGGAGTCCTAGAGAGGGTCCGTCAGGAGGGCATCAGTCTACTTCTGGTTGCCCCGAGATGGCCGACACGAGTATGGTTCTCGGATATAATATCACTCCTCATAGCTCCGCCGTGGCCGATTCCTCTGAGGGGGGATCTGTTGTCTCAGGCAGAGGGCGCAATCTTCCACCCTCGCCCAGAGTTGTGGAAGCTGTGGGTCTGGCCTCTGAGGGGGTTCAGTACCTGAATGCTGGCTTATCAGCTGAGGTGGTTGAAACCATACTTAGTTCTAGGGCTCCATCTACCAGGAGATTATATGGCCTCAAGTGGAAGGTGTTTCTCACTTGGTGTAGAGAACGAAGGTTGGATCCAGTAAACTGCCCAGTGGCTTCAGTTCTGCAATTCCTTCAGGATCGTTTCTCTGCGGGTCTCTCCCTGTCCACTCTTAAGGTGTACGTGGCTGCCATTTCGGCTTTCCACGCGCCAGTAGATGGTGGACCTCTGGGGAGGCACCAATTGGTCATTAGGTTTCTCCGTGGTGCTTGGAGGATGAGGCCGGCGACCAGGTCCAGGGTTCCTGCCTGGGACCTGGCGATAGTTCTGGAAGGGTTGTCCCTCGCTCCCTTCGAACCTTTAGAGTCGGCTTCGCCTAAGGACTTAACGCTAAAAATGGTCTTTCTCTTAGCGATTACCTCTCTTAAGAGGGTGGGAGATCTCCAGGCCCTGGCGGTAACACCAGCTTGCTTGGAGTTTGCCCCTGGCAAAGTAAAGGCCTTTTTGCACCCGAGTCCGGGCTACGTGCCTAAAGTTCCTTCGAATACGGCTCGCTCTATAGTCCTTCAGGCATTCCATCCTCCACCTCATGTGTCGGCGGAAGAAGAGAGGCTTCACTTGCTCTGCCCCGTCAGAGCTTTGAGTGTATACCTGGAAAGGTCCGCTTCTTGGAGAAGATCTGACCAGTTGTTAGTATGCTTTGGGTCACCTAAGAGGGGGCTCCCGGCGACCAAACAAACTATAAGTAACTGGATTGTCCAGGCTATTACTGAGGCTTACAAGGTGCGCGGGGTTCCTTCACCTTTGGCCTTAAGGGCTCACTCGACTAGAGGCATGGCTTCCTCTAGGTCCCTTCTGTCGGGAGTACCTCTGCAGGAGATTTGTGAGGCAGCCGGCTGGGCTACCCCACATACTTTCATCAGGTTTTATAGTCTCAACCTTCCCAGTATGCCCGGTGCACACGTACTCGGCCCTTGCTGAGTGCCTAATCAGTTTCACTCTGGGGCGGGTCTGTTCGGTGCGTGGCCTAGTGGGTACTCGTTCCCCAAAGAGTCGATTTTATCGACGCAGTGTTGAGTTCCCTCGATAGGGAACGTCTCAGGTTATGACTATAACCCTTGTTCCCTGAGAAGGGAACGAGACACTGCGTCGTGTTGCCACGCCCCTTTTTAGACCCTTGAGCGTCTTGCTTCATCGCGAGGCTAGTGTGTGTTGTGACAGCGTCACTTTTATACTTCCGGGTATGCCGTCACATGTTACGTTACGACGCAACACCAATCAGGATTGGATTAGTTTCATTCATACTTCAGAGGCGCACGCTTAGGGAGCGTCCCTAAAGAGTCGATATTATCGACGCAGTGTCTCGTTCCCTTCTCAGGGAACAAGACGTTTCTACAATATTTAAACACCATTTCTATCCTGATCTCAGTCTGACTGAGGACAGATGATCAAGTCTCAAGGCTTGTTTGCTACACTGACGGTTTCATTCATCTCAGATAATCTGAAGAGCAGAAGCTCATGGATGAACTGAACATGTCTGGAGGATAAAGATCATGAAGAAAAATAAACCTGAGCTAACTTTCTATATACAATGTCTTCAGGTTAAAGTGATGAAATGATGAACACACTCACCTGATACTGTCAGTGTAACTCCATCACTGATCTCTGAGTGCTGTTGGGTTTCAGTCAGAGTTCCTCTACATCTGTACAGACCAGCATGAGACGAATCCACAGATGTGATTATATAGATCTGGTGTTGTCCTGTGCTGTGATAGATCTGGTCTGTTCTTCTGCTGTTATCTTGATCTTTATACCAGCTATACGTCCAGACTCCTGTCTCCTGTAGGTCACATGTGAGAGTGACTCTCTCTCCTCTGAACACACGGACATCAGGCTTCACCTTCACTACAGGTTTGGGTCTCTCTGTGAAATGAGCAAACACACACTTCATGTTTCTTTCACTGAAAAACAAACAATCTACAAAGTAAAAGAGCTCTTACCTCTCACTGTTATCTGTATTGCATTACTGAGGTATGTATTGTAGTTTCCTCGCTGTGCTCTACACCCGTATAGTCCTTCATCAGAGACTCTCACAGAACTGATAGTTTTAGTTCTTGTATAATCACCGGATTCCCACTTTGAGTTTTTCCTCCAGTGAAACGTCCATCCAGTTGATCTTCCCACGTCACAGCTGAGAGTAACTGTGTCTCCAGTGAACACTGAACTCTGGGGCTTTACAGTCAGAGTTGGTTTATCTGGAAGTGAACAGTGATGCAGTGTTGAGCTCTTTTATACAGTTATTGCTCATATTTTCACTAGTCTTTTGTTTTTATCATTATTTTTTTAAACGGTAAACTATATAATTTATTTTGATTTAAAAGAGTGTTTGTCTTTTCTGCTTCCAGTAGTGACACCAAAAATAATTAAAAAATATATAGATATGGGGAAGAAAATTACAGAGCTTTCAAAGAATAATTTTAAAGTCTCTTGGATGAAGATCATAAGTGTTGAAATATGAATATTAAATAATGATAAAACAGATGTGAATATGAAGACTCACCTGATACAGTCAGTGTAACTCCATCACTGAAGTCTGTGTGTGAGTCTGATCTCTCTCCTCTACATCTGTATTTACCGCTGAGAGACACATCAGCTGTGAAACTGTAATCTGTTGTTGTATATTGATAGCCAGTATGTCCATCTTTCATCCAGCTGTATCTCTGAATGTTTCCTCCTCCCTGTATGTCACATATGAGAGTGACTGTCTCTCCACTGAACACACGCTGATCTGGCATCACCGTCAATACAGGTTTCACTGAGAAACATAGAAGTAAATATTGAAAAGCATTGCAGGCTCAAGATCACTTCATGAACTCAAAACTTCCTCAGGAGAAAAACACTTAAATTAACAAAAATGTTTTCTTGTAAATTGCAATGATTGCATGCATGTATTGGTAAAAACTAAATGAAAGTGATGTATGTCTCCAGTCTGCATGTCTTTATTGTATTATTGCTCTGCCTGTTCTGACCAGTAGATGGTGCTGTTTACAGTCAGAGTGTTTAAAGAGCTGAACTGGGAACTCACTAACTAACTTCTGTCTGTCTGTTCTCAAACACTTTTCTCTTCCAGCTCTTCCAACCAAACCACTGAATGAATAAAGCTTAGCATTGGTGCTCAAGATCTTAATGACACACCGTCAATAATTACAATTTCAGCAAATCTCAGAAACATGCAAATAAAACTCACTGTGCAACTCATTTCTGTTTTAATCAAATGTCTGACTGAACTAATTAGGCTACCTTCTACGGGATGAATATAATATCAAAATTAGGACATCACGATTTGTTGAAGTCAATATTGTGATTGTGATATATAATAAACAAATGGTTTCATGAGTCATCTTGAATGGTTCTCAAGGATAATGCCGACACAGATTAGTGAAATGATGAAATGTGTATTTCTCAACTCAAACTACAACAGCACAGTGTAAAAATGAAGTGTTTCCAAATTATAATAATATTTTTTGCTAAATTAAATTATATTTTTGAGTTACTGCAAATGTTTTATTGTCTCAAATATGTGTTAATGCTCATTGGTAGCCTAATTAGGTTTCATTTAGACCTTATCATTAAATAGTTTACTGTTATATGTCAGCAAGATTCAACAAGACATGTTCACCTGCTATACCCAATGTTTAGATCTGTTGTGGTATTTATGCAAATTAGCACACAGATTACGCACTGATTGCCCATGTTAACAAACATTAAAAAATTAAAATAAAAAAATAAAAACTTGTAATACATTTGTTGTTTGTCTTGATGCAAGTAATCAACTCAATTTTCATGATGATATCTAAAGGTTAACATTTTTACCCTACACGTGAGAGAAAAGAATGAATATCCGATATTTGAGTCTTTTTCCAAACTTTCCCCCTAATGGGATTCTTCAGGGCTTTTTTCCTAGCTCAGGACGTATTAAGGATACAAAATCAGCTGATTTTGCTTCTGTTGCAATTTGTTCAACCTTTTTTCATAAAATGAAAATTAAAAGTATATTTCCCTTTCTCACAGAATCGAGCCAACAAGGTATTTTGTTTTATTTGTCTGTTGTGTGAAATGTTACATCTGTTACACGCTTTTGCTGTGTCTGATTTGCTGATGTGATTTCTGTATTGTGTTGTTTGTTTAGTTTTCATGGTGGATTTGGAGAAAAGTCTTCAGATAAACCAGTAGCAAGAGAAACACTCGTGTCTGCGTATGCTTACAGTCGACTGAACTATTGTACAATGCAAGACTGTTTGATTGATTAAATAAATAGCAGATTTCTGTAATGTTTTGCAGCATAATGAACTACGGTCAGACGATTCTGTGAAATATATGCAAACATAAAACATCAGCAAAGAGACAAATGTGGGATCCTGATGTAGACAAATAAATACTATAACACAATTCACATTAATTAAAACATAATTAAATGTACTGCAGTAATGGACAGTACCTTGACTGAGTCCGGAGTGAACGAGGGACATCAGCACTAAAAGCAGAAGAAACACAGATGAAGCTTTTCCATTCATTCAACACAATGTAAATCACTGAAACATGTCTAGAGTTTATTCTACATGAACTGAAAGTGTTTTTCTGTTCTGATGCTCATAGAGGTGAGAACTGATGGATTATTCTCCAGCATTAACATCACACATAATGAACTGATACGATCAGTTTCGAATATTCGTGCGCACCCCTAATAGTGACTTTATTATAGTAAAATAATGTAGACATATAGCCTAAAGTTGAAATGACCAACACCAGAAAGAAAACCTTCTGCAAGCGCTAAATGATCTCATCTCAGTTCCTCTTAAAAGAATACGTATGTATTTGTACGTAAAGTGTCGTTCTATCATACGTATATAATTACGTTTTATATGCGCAGAAACGTATAATACGTTTTTACAGTACTAAAACGTAAAATATTTACGTATTGACAGCACAAAAACGTAATTTATTTACGTATGAACAAATCCACCGACGTACACATTGTAGCCTACGTTTCACATTTATGCAATATCGTAGCATTATGTTTTGACTATTGCATTCCACTATTTTATTAATGAAGTTTTCAGTCGCATTTATTGATATACTCATAAATATTAACATTTTGCTCGTTTCGCCTGCATGGTATTAAACAATACACTATAAAACCTTAAAAATACATTCTTTAACTCGTTCAACCATTTTGTAATAAATTTATTTACCTTGAGACACATAAAGCGTTTTCTCCTATGAAACACAACAAAAATTCACAAAAGACATCAATTTTATTAGTTTGATGTAATCCAAATCTTTAGAATCCATAGTTGTTTGCAAGAAACAACTCCTAATTCAGCCTCTTATCCAGTCGTGATCTCTCCATTCTCAGCAGCGACCGTACATGTCAAACCCCGCGCTGGTGATGAAATTCAAAAATTCAAATTCAAAAAAGGCGATACGTCATCTTTTACGGCAGTGATATCAAACGTTCATTGGCTCTTCCCTGCTTCGTCACAGTTTGCGACATGAAGGACTGTGACGGTTGGTTAGTTTAGTTCATTTGAAATGGAGAAGCACGAACCAAAGCCGGCGTTTTCATTAGTAATTTAATTTCTGCTCTGTACTTCATACAAAACGTACTGCCAGAGAGAAGACTGCGACTGCAACGCTTCATCGTGTGAACGGCTTTGGTATCGGTTTTGACATTTTCGCAATAAATAAATTATTGTGATTATACTTGTCTGTTAGTTATGTTTTTCTTCATAATTGTAGTTTGTTACGTAGTTTAAGGAATTGTTCTGGGTAGGTTTAAGGGTAGGAGTAGGATGGCTCAAAATATATTTTAATGCTATATTGTTAATAAAACTGCCCTTTCCCAACACCTGTCCGTTACGTTTTATCCTTTTTTTATATTAAGTATAAAATGGGTATGTTTAGGTTTGGGATTAGGGTTACGGGATCTTACATTTATCTATAAAATGGTAAAAAGTGAAATTATACAGATATCTTTATGATATAGAATATACGTAAATAGTTTACGTTTTGTAGCTGTAAAAACGTAATAATGTTACGTTTAAATGTTTCAGATACGTCCATATTATACGTTTCAGCATCTATCCAAACGTACTAAAAAGTACGTTTTCTATTTTTGCAAAAACGTAAAATACCCACGTATTAACAACGAGACCAGGCTGAATATGTTGAGCGCTTGCAGTCTCTCAAGTGTGAAAAAGCCCTTAAACCACACTAAAAATGTATCAGTATATTTCCAATATCTCAAAAGTAAAATTTAAAGACATATAGATAAAGTACAGTTTTCAATCAATTTCTCAAAAAAAAAAAAGGTTTTGCAGAACATGAATAAATAAATATGTTTAATAGGACAACAGAGATACTGCCTCATTGTCATTGGTGGAACATGTTCATATGCGTCGACGTAATGAAGTTATTCTGGAAACCTGTGGTTCCCTTTCAAGGGAACTTCGAGCTGCGTTGTCAAACGCGATGGGAACGCTCTGCGTGATTGCGTCGTGAAGCGTCTGTACAATCAGTCCAATGAGAGAGTAGGACGTCAGGTGACGTCACTGACCAGTAAACTATAAAGCACCCTTGAGATCAGACCGCGACAGCTTCTGTAGCCTTCAGCAAGCGATCTCTGTACTCTGTCCTTGTCTATTTATTGTTGTTTGTCTAAGCTATACTGTATATATATATGTAACGGAGGCCAGCTAGTAGTTGCTGTGCGAGTAAACCTCACTCCCCGATCTCAATAGGCCCTCTAGCGACAGACGCTAGAGGCTGCAGTCTTTAACCTCCTTGTTAGAGCGCCTGACTCTCATGCCGGAGACCTGGGTTCGAGGCCCGCTCAGAGCGGGGCGAGTAGGACCCGGGTGTGAGGGGTTACATTGGTGCCGTGACCCGGATTCGAACCGGGGTTGCTGCGGGGGTGAGTGTAACGGAGGCCAGCTAGTAGTTGCTGTGCGAGTAAACCTCACTCCCCAATCTCAATAGGCGCTCTAGCGACAGACGCTAGAGGCTGCAGTCTTTAACCTCCTTGTTAGAGCGCCTGACTCTCATGCCGGAGACCCGGGTTCGAGGCCCGCTCAGAGCGGGGCGCGTAGGACCCGGGTGTGAGGGGTTACATATATATATCACTATCCTTATTTTGGCAAGCAAAATTATAGACGGTGTGTTTTTCCCTGCCCTCGTTACTTCACGGGTGGGGACACACATCAGCAATGTGTTGCTGTTTGAGAGTGGAGCATGTCAGCAGTCAGTTCTCGAGGGAGCTGGCTGTAGGCATTGTGAGAAGCTGTCCGCGAGGACGCTCCGCTCCCGCCCGGCGTTCTCCGAGGAGGACGGTTCGGTTTGCGTTCCTTGCGCGGGTCTCTCAGTTGCCGAGGCACTGAGACGTCTCGCATTTCGGGGTTCGCAAGTGGATCTGACAGCGGGGGTTGGGTCGAGCTCAGCCCTATTTCAGCTCTCACATGCCAGATCTAGTGTTTTGTTTCAAGAGGAGCTTTTAAAAGGAGGTTTTATTTGTGCTTTGCCAGTTAAAATTTTACTGGCTAGTTGAACATTATGAGATTGGAAATGAAGAAGAGTTTTAGATTAAATTTATTTAAAACAAGAAAACTCTGTATCTCAGCCTCCTCGTCTGGGTTTATAAAGAATAAATAAATAAATAATTTATCCCCAGATGTCTAATTATAGTATTTTTGGGTATTAAGGATTATAGTATGTCAGTGCCTTGGGTTAAAGAGACGCTTGCGAGCTTTCTCTCTCCCGAGTCGGTGTCATAGTTATTAACCCCGACGTTACCCACTAGCTATCATAATAATGAATACATTTTTAAGCTGGTGGGTAAGAAATATAAACATGGACGAGTGTGAGGAGCGCCTCTCTGAGGAGGGTCGCAGTGCTGCCATTTCGGTTGTTTCCCGATGGTGCCCACATTACTATATGTTTGTTCTGATAAAAAGATATAAATATGTCTGTTCTTCTGTATGCTCCGCTTTCAAGAAAATTATGAAATTCAGCGGTGTTCCAGAGGTTTCTTCCTCACCAATGTTCCTGAGACTGGTGGGAGCAGTCTCTGCCTATTAAGCTCCTCGCAGCACAAGGTGCAAAACAGAACAAAAGTCTAGCCAGTTAGAGATATGCAAGGACTGTTTTATCTCTAAAAAGAGCTTCAACAAAATTCCGGTAGGCAAGATCTGAGGACTGCCATCTCTAAGAAAGCCCTCTGGGGGGCGATGCTATGAGGAGCATTGCAGCACTGCCACATCGGTTGTTTCCTGTCGGTTCGCCGTTTCAGGGCGCCGAGGTGTCAGTGTCCCCATACGTTCCTACGAGGAGGGCCGTAGAATGGTCAGTTCGGTTGTTCCCGGTCGGTTCGCCGTTTCTGGGCACCGAAATGTCCGTTCTACAAAATCCCGAGGCCAGTCTCGAGAGACTGGTCCCCTTAGTGGAATTCATGGGTGGAAACTACGGCCGGATATTCCTCAATGGGTCCTGCATGTGATAGAAAAGGGTTCCAGAATTCAGTTAAAAGAAAAGAAAACTGTTCTCGTTCACCCAGATTTCTAGGGGTCCTTCCCACCGTGGTGGTCCCCGAGCAGGCTCGGGTTATGGAACAGGAAGTGATTATGCTTTTGCAAAAAGGGGCTATGAAAGGGTTCCTCCTACCAGCAGAGAGTCAGGGTTTTACAGCCGATACTTCATCGTTCCCAAGAGAGATGGTGGGTTACGTCCTATTCTAGATCTGTGTCAGCTAAACAGCAGAGTTCAAAAGGTAAAGTTCAGAATGCTTACACTCAAACAGATCGTGTCACTGTGTCAGTCCTAGGACTGGTTTGCCACAATAGACTTGAAGGACGCTTATTTTCACATATCCATCCATCCTCATCAAAGGAGGTTCCTGAGGTTTGCTTTCGGGGGCATAGCTTACCAATATCCTATCCGTCGGCCTAGGTATGAAACTAGGCCAGTCACTCACTGTTAAACAGTTTCAGAGACTGTTGGGGCTCATGGCAGCTGCGTCCATCGTAATCACTTTTGGCCTTCTGTATATGAGACCGCTGCTGTGGTGGCTCAGGACCAAGGGGTTTTCTCCCATGGACCCAGGGGAAATTGTTGTCACTGAGGGCAATATATATTCCAGGGTCGATATTCTGTCGAGGCAGGGGCTGAGGCCCGTGGAGTGGAGACTCCACCCCGAGGTGATGAAGCTCCTATGGGAGAACTTTGGTCAGACCCAGGTCGATCTATTTGCAACTCAGGAGACAACTCACTGTCCGTTATGGTTCTCTCTCATGCATCCAGCTCCTCTCGGACTGGATGCGATGGTGCAGGTGTGGCCGAGGCTACACCTGTATGCATTTCCCCCGATATCAATGCTCCCGGGAGTTCTGGAAAGAGTTCGCCAGGAAGGGGCTCATCTGTTGTTAGTAGCCCAGCACTGGCCGACCAAAATATGGTTTGCGGACCTGCTTTCACACAATATTTTTTTGCACAATATTTCACCCTCGCCCCAAGTTGTGGAAACTATGGGCTTGGTCTCTGAGGGGGCCCAGTTTATAATTGCTGGTCTCTCGACTGAGGTCGTGGAGACCATTCTTCAATCCAGAGCTCCCTCCACAAGAAAACGTTATTATTTCAAACGGAAATTGTTCTCTACATGGTGCAGAGAACGTGCTTTTAATCCTGTTGACTGCCCGGTTGGTACAGTTCTCGATTTCTTGCAAGACCGTTTCTCTGCTGGACTAACTCCCTCCCCCTTGAAGGTGTATGTTACGGCTATATCTGCCTTTAGATCCCCTGCGGGGGCTTCTTCTCTGGGGAGAGATCCTCTAATAACTCGTTTTCTCCGTGGAACATTGAGACTGAGGCCTGGCTTGCACTCCAGAGCACCGGCTTGGGACCTGGCCATTGTACTCGAGGGTCTGGCTTTGGCTCCCTTCGAGCCCATCGAAGAGTTTTCAGAAAAATTCCTCACTTTAAAAGCTTTGTTTGTTCTCGCAATTTCTTCTATTAAGAGAATTGGAGATCTGCAAGCTCTTTTGGTTGCTCCTTCATGTTTGGAATTCGCACCTGGTATGGTTAAAGCATTTCTATACCCTAGGCCGGGTTATATTCCTAAGGTCCCTACTAATGTGATGGGTCCTTTTGTGCTGCAGGCCTTCTGTCCTCCACCCTTCAATACCCCAGATCAGGAAAGTCTCAATCTGTTATGTCCAATTCGGGCATTGGATGCTTATGTTCACAACCCTGTGGCGTAAGTCAGAGCAATTATTCGTCTGCTTTGGTTCGACTAAGAAAGGTTGCCCGGTATCGAGACTAGTATGAGCAAGTGGATAGTTGAGGCTATCTCTATTGCTTATAATGCGGTCAAATGTCCCTCACCTATGGAGGTCCGCGCCCATTCTACTAGGAGTATGGCTGCCTCTAAGGCTTGAATGTCGGGTGTTTCCCTTCATGACATTTGTAATGCGGCAGGGTGGTCCTCACTGCATACATTTGTCAGGTTTTATGACCTAGACCTTTCCAATCCCGGGGCTAGGTTGCTCGCTTCTTAGTGTGCGCATTGGACTTCACACAGAACGGGCATTTCTCAGCATGGCATAGAGAAAATGGGAAAAAAAATGGCGTTCGTCAGGTCCAGTTTTGTGTCCAGCCTCTCACGGGGATTTCGGATGCCCCAACGCCTGTGATGAGACGACTCAACGCCTGTGATGAGACGACTCAACGCCTGCGATATGTTATGGCGCCGTTTGATTCATAAACAATATTTATATTTAATCAATATGAATGTAAGCCAGAGGAGAACTGGCCGCCGACTGAGCCTGGGTTCTCCCAAGGTTTTTTCTCCATCCAATCTGATGGAGTTTGGTTCCTTGCCACTGTCGCCTTGCTTTTGGCTTGCTTTGAGCTTGCTCAGTTGGGGTTATTTAGTGTTTAGCAATGTTGTTGATCTGTGTTGTGCTACTTTCATGTTATCACTGTGAAGCTGCTTTGATACAATCTGTATTGTGAAAAGCGCTATATAAATAAATGTAACTTGACTTGACATAGTGGGTATGGGGTTCCCATCACGTTTGACAACGCAGCTCGAAGTTCCCTTGAAAGGGAACGTCTCAGGTTACGTATGTAACCCTGGTTCCCTGAGAGGGAACGAGAGCTGCGTTCGCCTGCCATACTTCCTGCATGCCCTGATCGACTTGCTTCAGGCCTTTCACAGAAGCTGTCGCGGTCTGATCTCAAGGGTGCTTTATAGTTATCTGGTCAGTGACGTCACCTGACGTCCTACTCTCTCATTGGACTGATTGTACAGACGCTTCACGACGCAATCACGCAGAGCGTTCCCATCGCGTTTGACAACGCAGCTCTCGTTCCCTCTCAGGGAACCAGGGTTACATACGTAACCTGAGACGTTATTCTGACACACGTGTGAACTGACATCATTCAACAACTAAATATGAAGTTCAGGCGAACTGGTTAAAAATAACTGAAACGTGTCTCATAAAAGTTAGTTCTGAGAAAAGCTTTACTTAGTTTGATAAACTGTTTGTCCATAAAATGACAATGAAATTTGAGTTTCCAAATCATTTTTGCAATTATTTCTCAATAAGAGAGTCAGAGAGAAACAGAAGTGATAGAGAAGCTGATTGTGTGTTAGTTTGTGCATTTACGAGCTCAGAAAACTCAAAGAATTTGCATTATGTGGGTAATCATCATTCAACAATAACTCATATCAACACAAATACATCTGATTTATCTGACTTGAAGTAGGAAGAAAGATATCACAGCAAAACTAAGCAAAAATACATGCATTACCTCCATCTTTCACAAGCATTATCACACAGATAAATACATCATCAAACTCGTCATCCGATCACCATAACAACATCACATTTAATCTGATCAATAAATAATACAATAAGCAGTGAGACGCAACACTCATTAAATTATCACATCTTCAGCTGAATACATTGCATTAGAAACAGAAAAAAACAATATTATAGAATATGTTTAAACACTCACAGATGAGCGGCAGTGCACTGGAGCCCATACTGACACATTAATAGACTGATTTAACAGCGCTGTGTGATAAAACACACACACTTCCTGTGTTTGAGAGAAGAGATGAGGGAGGAGGAGACAAAACTCTACACGGAAATAAAGAAGAGAGCGATCCAGTCTAAGATATTTAGCTGCTAATATATTAAAAGTTGTTACAGTGTGAACGAACACAATAACAGTGAGAACAATCTCCATCAGAACTGAATTTTCTAGTTGAACAACAGTCACACACAGAAGACAGACAGACCGTGATTAAAGTGAAATCCACGAGACATCTAATGTGTGTCTAATGTGACTCTACAACATATCAGTGAATGAAATATACGGCCATAAATCTTATAAAGTTTTGTTCCATAAAAACTAAAATGTTGCTGGTCAACTCTGTGGTTTCTGTTCTCAGCGCTTCGGCTCTCAGTAAAACAGGCCTCGACTTGATGAACTGAAGAAATGGTTGAGAAACAGAATCACAAAAGGCCAAATCTTCTTTAAGTGAGGGTTCGGGTTAGTAGTAAGTTAATAAAGTGAACAGGGCCTTTGGAAAATGGGTCCTGACCTTTATAAAGTTTCCTTAATGTGTGTTAACAGACCCTGAATCTGGAGAACTTTAGGACCCTGAAACACACGAGCTGTGGACCAGCGATCCGCATCAACATCACAATCCCCGCTGTTAATAAGGTGATGCATTTGAAATAGCGTGTCTGTTTAAAGCAATTGATTTACACAAGGATTGATATAATAAACAATCCAATGTCAATGATGGGAAATGTAGTTTGGTCACTCAAGCCCTTCAGCTCATGTCTGAACGAGTGTTTTCTGGTAAACTTTATTTCACTTCTTCATTAACAAAACACATAATGCGAACAAACTGCATTGACTGTCAGTAATAGTCAGAAATACATTTATGAATAAAAACATTTACTTCTGCCATTGCTTCCCACTCGTAATTACGACTTTGTGGTGGAGTTCATGTGTTCAACTCGTAATATCATCTTTCTGACAAGACTTGAACGCACCAATAGTCAATGTTTCTACAATCTACTGACACTCACAGGAAATGGACACAAGAACATGTTATGGGCGGAAGGAACATGATCGGGTCATTCCCTCTGACCGTGAGCTTGAGGAGAGGATCCCTGAATCAGGCTTGAGAGACAGTCGGGAGGCCAGAGGTCAGTTAGGGGGTCAGGGGTCAGTCAGTAAAGTATGTAGTGTATCTGGTTTATATATTTATACATGAGGTATTAGATGTAATTAGTATTAGTTTGTTTATTTGATTGTTTGATGTCTGTGATTGGTTGGACACATCTTATGATGAATATATTAGTAGGGATCCCGAAGCTAAAAACAAACTTTTTTTCCTGTAACAAAATAAAAAATGAATGCCATTAGAGGGTTAAAACCATGTTCATTTATTCTCTAAAATGAAAGTAGTGGGAAAGGTTAAGAAGTGACATCTTTCATCACGTCTAAACAACCCTTTCTCACTGCCCTCCTTTTAGAGAAGAAATTAACATGGTTTTGGATTTCTAAAATAGGGAAGTCGATGAAAATGACACAGATATTCTGCAAATCTTTGCTCTTGTGATGATATTTTGAGGTTTTTGAAACTAAAGATGCAGAAAAGGCACAAATGTTTCCTTTACCCTGTTTAAAACCACAGAAACAGAGCAGAAGTCAAACCACTATGAGCTCAACTCTATTATTAGACCTGAAGAAATGAGTTGCTGTGAGAGCACAATCACATTTAAGTAAATTGCAGTTAAGTTTGAAACCCTCCACAGGGTGTCCGGAAAGAGACTTGGTCAGTAGATATTTGGGAATAATCGGTTTATTTGTCACCACATATCTCAGATATTAGCAGTTTACCTTATGGGGGTGTAGCCATGTGGTTTTTCCATAAATAAAGAAAAATAAAGAAAATGTAGGTAGGTATAAACATACAAGTGTTTTAAAATTGACACATGATGAATATTTTAACAAATTCAGACATGAGATTAATAACTGAAGAAAAACAACTTGCTGACACATTAGAGTAAACCAGAAACAGTTTTTCTGTTGGTGAAGTTATTTACAACTTTAAAATATACCTCAAGAATGAAGACATTGACAATTAAATTACACCAAAACACAGACATCATCAATACACACATATATTAATGAAGTCAATATAAACAACAAAGCATAAACATATAGGGCTATTAAACAGGTCCAGTATGGCACATATAATCACTTATGATCATCATCATCATCATAATCTATCAGAAAAATGCCACCGTTAAAAAGGAAGCCTAGTGGCATTAAATGATACTACAGCGAGAAGTGTTTGAGCCAGAAAGGGTGTTTGGAGGGAAGATCGCTGATTGGATAGTTTTCAGACGTCAGCCAATAGGAGACGGGCACGCTTTCTTTTATAAGGCAACTCACAACGGGCAATAGCATTGTATTTGATTTTGATCCTCTCGTCAATCGAAAACAAACTCTAGTCATAATGAGTGGAAGAGGTAAAACCGGAGGAAAGGCTCGTGCCAAGGCCAAGACTCGCTCTTCCAGGGCCGGACTGCAGTTCCCCGTCGGCCGTGTTCACAGACTTCTCCGCAAAGGCAACTATGCCCAGCGCGTCGGTGCCGGAGCTCCGGTGTATTTGGCCGCTGTGCTCGAGTATCTGACCGCTGAGATCCTGGAGTTGGCTGGAAACGCCGCTCGGGACAACAAGAAGACCCGCATCATCCCTCGACACCTGCAGCTGGCGGTGCGCAATGACGAGGAGCTCAACAAGCTTCTGGGTGGCGTGACCATCGCTCAGGGTGGTGTGTTGCCGAACATCCAGGCCGTGCTGCTGCCCAAGAAGACCGAGAAGGCCGCGAAGGGAAAATAAACTGACGGAAGTTTCTCTTCAAACCAAAGGCTCTTTTAAGAGCCACCCAATTTCTCTCCGATAGAGCGATTTCATAAATTCTATCATTGTTTAACTTAGGATCAGCCCAGCATATATCAAAATCATTTGCCCTAGTCAACATTGTTAGTAGCCTAGTATTTAGAAAAAGTAACTAACAAAAGTATATGATTTCTAAGCATTTTTAATGGAGGTAGTAACACGCTGCATTATTATACACACTGTTGTCCAACCCCATCCCCCAGTTGTGCTATGAAAGCATTTTCATCCTGTGATTCCTATGTACATCTCAATTTTTAAAATTAGTTGGCATAAGTACATTACTTTTTTTGAAAAGTTATGGGATGTGACGCACAAATATAGGATAAAAAACACTGACCTTGAAAGCAGAGGCAGCAGAGACCTTGACAGCACAGCCATTAGCCGGGTCCAGGACACTTGTGCGCCATCCACGCCATGAGAGTCGCCATCATGCCCAAAGACATCCAGCTGGCCCGCGGAGAGCGCGCTTAAATCCACAACTCACACAAACCCAAAGGCTCTTTAAAGAGCCACCTCAATAACTCTAAGAAAGATTTCTATATTTTGAAATATGAACATTTATATGCTGCGTTGATTTGTCTATTTTTAATGCATTAAAGGTGTTATTTATTTATTTATTTTATAATTAAATAATATAGTTGTAAATATTACTTGTATTCGACTTATTTCCACTACTATAGGGTATCAAAAGACTGAACTGGACATGGAAATGCGTAACTGGTGACGTTTACTAGAACCGCCCATGAATGTGGTTTCAACTAGGTCCGCTAGCTGACTATAAGGCCGTGTTCTTCAGAGGCGTTATTTGGTTGTTTTGAGTTTAAGAGTATCTGTCGACATGTCTGGAAGAGGTAAAGGCGGGAAAGGACTCGGGAAAGGAGGCGCTAAGCGTCACCGAAAGGTTCTTCGCGATAATATCCAGGGAATCACTAAACCCGCTATTCGTCGTCTTGCTCGTCGTGGGGGTGTCAAGCGTATTTCTGGCCTGATCTATGAAGAGACCCGCGGTGTGTTGAAGGTGTTTCTGGAGAACGTCATCCGTGATGCTGTGACTTACACTGAACACGCCAAGAGAAAGACCGTCACCGCCATGGATGTTGTGTACGCGCTGAAGCGACAGGGACGCACTCTGTACGGGTTCGGCGGTTAAAAGATCCACGAAGAAGAAAAACCCAACGGCTCTTTTAAGAGCCACCCACATTTACACACAAAGAACGAATTTCTAGTTGTTGAAATGTATAGCAACGTAAATTAAGGATTTATTTTAAAAGAGAAAAAAATGATAAGTGAGAAAAGAATAGATAAATACCGGACAAAATAAAACGTTTGATATTTTCACATAGTCAACTTGTTTAAACAGATGATTAAGAAAACAATTTTATCTAGTTTTTAATGTATTATAAATTAAAAAATAAAATAAGAGCTGTTGACCTCAGGCAGCATAGTACCACAGTGGAACACAAACTAACAAACCATCAAATCAAGTTACCATATCCATCTTCATCCTCATCTTCACTCTCCTTGCTGGATTCACTATAACCTCATCATGATACAACCTCCTCACCCTCATCAACAGCCAGCTGTGTTTTATACCTTTTATAGGTACAGACATTGTGTAGATATAATATGTGAATTACTGCTCATTACAGATTCAATATTTATTTAATTCTAATTTTTTAAAATGAACTTTTCACTGGCGAAAATATGGACACGTGCACAATGTGCTGAATCAAGACACAAAATGGCCCCGTGGGTCACAGCCTTGCATGGCTGACACCGCCGTTGGTGTGTGAATGAGTGTATGAATGGGTGAATGTGAGGCAAATGTAAAGCGCTTTGGTGGCCATTAGGTCTATGAAGGCGCTATATAAATGCAGTCCATTTACCATGTGACCACTATTTTGCAATTTCATTGATTGGTATTTGAGTTCTTTTATCATGAGATAGGTTAGGTCTCATTTTATGAAACAAACCAACAAACAAACCTACCAACCATATTAGACCATGTTTCCTGGAGGCAACACCATACCAAGCATAGAGGGTTAAGTGATTTGTATTTTTACTGTGCTATATTCACAGTTCTGATTTGTAGTTAATTTAACATCGTTATAAAGACTCTCGAAAGTTAATACTCATTGTTTGTTTCATATATAAACTATTTTTTATATGTAGATTGCCGTATACATAACACAAGGCTAATTCTTCTTTTAAATAAATGTTAAAATTATATATAATCATCTACGTACGAAAGAAAATCTGAAATGATTCACAATTATCAATTTATTCATTCCTGAAAAATGCGGGAAAATGAAACAAAGAGATGACGTCACGGGGGATGGTAGTTGTTGATGGGCGTGATTAACATTTCAAAGCTTCTGATTGGATCACCTACAGTTCAAGAGAATGTTTTATCTGACCAATGAAATCGTTCTATGTTTTGGTCCAGGAAGCCTACCAATCACAGAATATCGTTCCTCCCCTTTTAAATTAGCATAGAGCAGTGCATAAAAGCCGCCTGCAGTGACACAGAGCTACAGTTTCTTTGAGTTTCACTGACTGAAATATCATGCCTGAACCGGCGAAGTCTGCACCCAAGAAGGGCTCGAAGAAGGCCGTCACTAAAACCGCCGGCAAGGGTGGAAAGAAGCGCAGAAAGTCCAGGAAGGAGAGCTACGCGATCTACGTGTACAAAGTCCTGAAGCAGGTTCACCCCGACACCGGGATCTCCTCCAAGGCGATGGGGATCATGAACTCTTTCGTCAACGACATCTTCGAGCGCATCGCCGGTGAAGCGTCTCGTCTCGCTCACTACAACAAGCGCTCCACCATCACATCGAGAGAGATCCAGACCGCCGTGCGTCTGCTGCTGCCCGGAGAACTGGCCAAACACGCCGTGTCTGAGGGCACAAAGGCCGTGACCAAATACACCAGCTCAAAGTAGAGCGAGTCCGCTCAACAACACAAAGGCTCTTTTAAGAGCCACCCATATTATCTGTGAAAAGAGCAGTTCCAGTTGTATTTCATATCCCTCACAATGCATGTTGAGGAAGATGCCGTAGAGCAATAAACTATTATGTTATACAATTAAACTCCCAGACTAAAATTCATGTCGTAACGTAAAATCGTCTTGTAAATGTTTAATATTTACATCATTTTATGCTGCAAGAAAAAAGTATTTTTAACAAAATTTGTTTTTTAATTTTACCATTAGGTTATTCAGAATAGATAAACAAATTGATTTGAAGCAAAACTTAAACAACTCTCAGCACGAATACAAATGTTTCCTAATTCCCGATGTAAAAGTTAGGTTGAATTATTTATGTAAAAATGCTTTAGTGCTTTAAGCCTGTTCCAGTATCATGGGTAAAATATCATCCCTCACTTAAGCATTAATGTGTTGTTTAGCAGCACGGCTGTCTGATCAGAGGACACAAAGACTCCTTTAAGATCTTATCTTTTATCTATAATCTTTATCATTTTAGTTTTAGACAAAAATAGCATTGATGTTACATTATAAACTAGTGAGCAACTCTGGCCCTCGAGATACACTTTCCTGCAGAGTTCACCTCGAACCCTAATGAAACACGCACACTTGTTTTTATTATTAATATTTTTTATTATTACAGTGGTTATGGTTATGAAAAATATAATTTTAAAGGTTAATAAACACAATAAAATTTTTATAACAAAATCAATAGCCCACATTGGGTGAATGCCTCATTAATGAGTTCCTGATTTGTATATTTATAATGATAAAGGTGAGAAATAAGAGTTAAGAGCAAGAGTGCTGTTTTTTTTTTTTTTTTCCTGGAAAAGCATATTGGTGATGTGACTTTGTAAATGAAGACTACGGCACTGCACACACACACACACACACACATTATTTTACTGTAGTTCACTCGAGCTGAGCACACAGGCCTAAAGACACAAATTACAGAATCTATCAAGTTTTTGTCCGATTTCCATTCTAAGGATGTTCATCTTGATAATACTGTAGTATTACTTTGTCTTCTGGGTAAATATCCTCTTCATAAAGCCAGAAACGTTCACTATAATCCCAATATCAGAATGATCTCCTCTGATATAAAGTCACTTTTACTACCTTTAAGAAAATATCAAAACCTTTGAACACAAGGGCTTCGAAAACATATATCATCCTTGAGTCTATTGAAATGAACCTTTCATTTAAAAAAGCCAAAAGAATGAACACGTCACACGCATGTGCATGACGTCACCATTTTTAAATGAGCATTTTTGTATTTACAGGGAGATGATAAGGGTCTCGTTTACAAAAACATAAAAAGTCTTTCGTCGGGCTCGTTTATTCTCTGCAAAAATACCTCAATAGCCTTTGTTTGTATCACAAATGTACATTCCACATTAAATTACAATCGCAAGAATCACTGTGTTCTGTCAAAAAGTTTATTCCTCTGTTACGGCGTACTGAATTTGGTCTTCAGCAGATGAAACTGTGATACACACAAAAACATTTTCAACATTTAAACGGACATGTCTTATTATTTTTTATATAATAATTTTTTTTCCACTGCAGTTATTGCTCTCATGAATGACCATCATCTGTTCAAAATATAGATCTAAATAAGTGCAGTAAAGGCATATCTGTCAGTAAGAGAATGTGAATAATTTGTGTGTGTATGTGTGTGTGTGTGTGTGTGAGAAAGAGAGAGAGCTTGTGTGTGTGTGACATAAGTTTTACCTCTCGCTCTGTAACATTTGAAAAGCAGCACGACTGTCGCTAACAGATACGGAGAAGCTGCCAGAAGAAAACTGAGGATTTTGAGGACAGAAATCTGACCTGGAAAACAGAAACACAAGAACATTATTGACCAACAAAGTTTTGAGAGTGAATATAACAGCTTTGAAATATTTTTTACTTTTTAAATATTTATATTTTTACCACCATTTCCCTTTTAGAGTTACGTATTAAAGATATTTCAAAGTATTGTTTTATTTCCATTGTATGGACAAAAACACGGATACATTTTTCCAAATAACTTATTTTATGACAGCTCATGTTTTGAAAGACGATGTCCTGTAGCTCACTAATGTAAATACAAATGCATACAAAAATGTGATGTCCGACTGATTTATGAAGAAGAAAGCCTAGTTTTCAAGAAGCATTAGACAAATGACCCACTATTCTGCTTCATAAGTGCCATGTTGACACAGTGACTAAAGTAAACATCAAAGATGGAGAAACCCTAACACAGGAAAGTCACAATTTACATGATTTTATAATAAACCTCCAGAAAACACACAACACACACACAAGACGTGCAGTTACTGAATAATGACTAAAAGTGAATTTCTTCAGTCCTCTTAAAGGTTCTCAAAGCGATCCTGGGTGTTGACGTTCGAATATTTTCAAACAAATCGGAGCTAGACCCTCCTCCTCCGCATCTCATCTCCTCCCCCTCCCTACCGTGCTTCCTGAAATAATTGTGAATGTGCATAGTTCTAGCTAATTATATCCTTGTGTGGGTTTGGCGAACATAAGCGTCAATTTAGAAAAAACAAACAAAACAATTTAACGTTACCCACCTGTCCAGCAAAAACAGAGCAACCTGAATGTCGGACTGGAAGCCCTTCTGCCGCCGGAGTTCTCGCCATCGTTCAAAAGCTTTGCTACCGATGTAAATTCGGAACTTCGCACGTTCTTTATCCGACTCCTTCTTCTTTTTAATTTGTTCTCCAGAACGACGTCTATTTGGTCGTGTGTCGGTAACTTTTCAAACCTCCCTCTGATGCTTCGCTCGCTGCTCTCCTTCACACACACACACACCCTTCATGTGCACGCGCACTAACCCCCCAGACCCACCCTCAAATACTTCTAGCCAGTGATTGGCTGGAACACTGTTTGTTAGGTTTCGTGGTCCGGGTAAGACATGATTGTTTTTGTTGCCGTTTGTGGAGCCTGTGGTGTCTGCAGAGACCGCGTTTTTTTACAGTGTGTTTAGGGGACAGGCAGCTAGCCGATAGTGAGGAGACGTTTGATGTATGTGACAAAAAATGTTTTGGCCCAGCATCGCTTAGAGAACCTTTTACAGATGTGGCTGAAGATTATAAGTGTTGAAATATGGATATTAAATGATGATTAAACAGATGTGAATATGAAGACTCACCTGATACAGTCAGTGTAACTCCATCACTGAAGTCTGTGTGTGAGTCTGATCTCTCTCCTCTACAACTGTATTCACCACTGCGAGACACATCAGCTGTGAAACTGTAATATGGTGCTATTGTTATACATGGATAGACAGTGTGTCCATCTTTAATCCAGCTGTATGTCCATGGAATGTTTTCTCCTCCCTGTATGACACATGTGAGAGTGACTGTCTCTCCTCTGAACACACGCTGATCTGGCTTCACCTTCACTACAGGTTTCACTGAGAAACATAGAAGTAAATATTGAAAAGCATTGTAATATCAAGATCACCGTCATGAACTCAAAACTTCCTCAGGAGAAACACACACACACACACACACACACACACACACACACACACACACACACACACACACACACACACACACACACACACACACACACACACACACACACACACACACACACAAAGTTTTCTTGTAATTGTTAATTGCCAGTTTTTTTTTTGTTTGTTTTTTTTACATGGGTGCACAATCTAATTCATATCTAAACATTGGGTATAGCCAGGCGATCATGTCTTTTTTTAAGGTCCGTTAAACTGCAGCTGTCACTCAGGTAAGAAATATTTCCTTTCGTTTCTCCTACATGGATTAATGTGATTGTTTTATTCAGACACTTTTTATTAAACCTTTTGTCTTCTGCATTCTCCTTACCCGTGTCTCCTGTTCTTCACTCAGACTCATCCTCCAGAAAAAATCCCACGGCCCCAAACCCCATCTCTGCCATAATAATTAATAAAGGCTGCTTTCTAAAGTATTTATTTCTTCCTCTATGTATTAATGCTCATTGGTAGCCTAAATAGGTTTCATTTAGACCTTAACATTAAGTATTTTACTGTTATATGTCAACTAGATTCAACAAGACATGTTGACCTGGCTATACCCAATGTTTAGATGTGTTGTGGTATTTATGCAAATTAGCACATATGTAATTAGATTATGCACCGTTTGTCCATGTTCACAAACAATTAAAAAAAAAACCTTGTAATACATTTGTTGTTCGACTTGATGCAAGTAATCAACTCAGTCATTTTCATGATGATATCTAAAGGTTAACATTTTTACCCTATTCACGTGAGAGAAATGAATTGAAAATGAAACCTATTTTGAGTCTTTTTAGAAACTTTCCCCTAATGGGATTCTTCAGGGCTTTTTTCCTCGCTCAGGACATATTGAGGATACAAAATCAGTTGAGTTTGCTTCTGTTGCAATTTGTTCATACTTTTTTCATAAAATGACTGGACTAAAAGGACTTGAAAGGTTGTAAAGTGTATTTAAAGTATATTTCCCTTTCTCACAGAATGCAGCCAACTCGGTATTTTGTTTTATTTGTCAGTATTTTGTGTGAAATGTCATTACATCTGTTACACACACTTTTGCTGTGTGTCGAGCTGATGTGATTTCTAAGATTTTAAATGTGTATTTAAGATGAATTTACAGTGTAACTCTCTGTAATTATAGTGTACCTATAACGTACTTATATGTAAGTATAAGGGGAAAATATGTAAAGTTTGGGGAATAAAGGGGTAACAACCATGAGAATTAAAATATATATATTTATTCTCGAAGTATTATTGAGCTAAGGGGTACTTATTCTATTATTAAAATACAACAATCTTACATTTACATTTATCCATTTAGCTGACGCTTTTATCCAAAGCGACTTACAATTGCTATATATGTCAGAGGTCGCACGCCTCTGGAGCAACTATGGGTTAAGTGTCTTGCTCATTTGTGTATTTTTAGCAATTGTGTATAGGCTTTTTAAAAATGTAACGGACAGTACCTTGACTGAGTCCAGAGTGAACGAGGGACATCAGCACTAAAAGCAGAAGAAACACAGATGAAGCTTTTCCATTCATTCAACACGATGTAAATTACACTCTGAAACATGTCTAGAGTTTATTCTACATGAACTGAAAGTGTTTTTCTGTTCTGATGCTCATAAAGGTGAGAACTGATGGATTATTCTCCAGCATTAAAGGGTTAGTTCACCCAAAAATGAAAATTCTGTCAGTATTTACTCACCCTCATGTTGTTCCAAACCTCTATGTGTTTATTTGTTCTGCTGAACACAAAGGAAGATATTTGGAAGAATGTTTTAATCAAACAGATCTCATTCCCCATTGACTATCATAGTAAGTATTTTTGCCTACTACGGTAGTCAATGGGGAATAAGATCTGCTTGATTAAAATATTCTTCCAAATATCTTCCTTTGTGTTCAGCAGAACAAATAAACATAGAGGCTTGGAACAACATGAGGGTGAGTAAATACTGACAGAATTTTCATTTTTGGGTGAACTAACCCTTTAACGTCATCACACACAAAGACGTCACATGAGTCGTGAACTGATACGAGAGTCGATTCACTGATTCATTGATAGATTCACTGATGTGATCAAATACAATCCATGTGTTAACCACAGACTGTGAAAAATAACACGCTCCACAGCGCCACCCAGTGCATTTCATTATAACTGTGAGTCGGTGCTTGGGATTTGTCACATTTGTCATGGATTAACTTTGAATTTTACTAGGTTGTTTTACTGGCCGTAAATGCATTATTTTCTTTTTCGAGAAATAATAAGTTTCGTATATCCGTGCAGACCCCTAATATTGACTTTATATAAAATAAAGACATATAGTATAGCATACAGAAGAAATGACCAAAACCAGAAAGAAAACCTTCTGCAAGTGACCTCATGCTTCTGGTCTAAGAGCATTTTCACACCTCGTTTGTTTCAGCTCCTCAAGAGCTCTCGCCTCGTCTAAAATAATTCATATCTCAGCACTAAATAATCTCAGTTCCTCCTAAAAGGACCCAAACACAAACCATGTTCAGACCACAGTATTTAATGTGTTGACCGCTTGTAATCTCTCAAACAAACGAGTGTGAAAAAGCCCTTAAACCACATTAAAAATTTATCTGTATATTTCCAATATCTCAAAAGTAAAATGTAAAGACATTTAAATAAAGTACAGTTTTCAATCCAGACAATTCTCAAAAATAAATAAATAAATCGTTTTGCAGAACATGAATAAATAAATATGTTTAATAGGACAACAGAGATGCTTCCTGATTGTCATTGGTGGAACATGTTCATATGCGTCGACGTAATGAAGTTATTCTGGAAACCTGCGTTATTCTGACACACGTGTGAACTGACATCATTCAACAACTAAATATGAAGTTCAGGTGAACTGGTCAAAAATAACTGAAACGTGCCTCGGAAAAGTTAGTTCTGAGAAAAGCTTTACTTAGTTCGATAAACTGTTTGTCCATAAAATGAAAATGCAATTTAAGCTTTCAAATAGTTTTTTGCAATTATTTCTCAATAAGAGAGTCAGAGAGAAACAGAAGTGATAGAGAAGCTGATTGTGCATTTACGAGCTCAGAAAACTCAAATAATGTGCATTATGTGTGTAATCATCATTCAACAATAACTCTTATCAACACAAATACATCTGATTTATCTGAACTACTTGAAGTAGGAAGAAAGATATCACAGCAAAACTAAGCAAAAACATGCATCACCTCCATCTTTCACAAGCATTATCACACAGATAATTACATCATCAAACTCTTCATCCAATCAACATAACAACATCACATTTAATCTGATCAATAAATAATACAATAAGCAGTGACTGAACTCATAGACTCTCATACGCAATCATAATTATATTATCACATCTTCAGCTGAATACATCGCATTAGGAACAGAAAAAAAGAAGATTATAGAATATGATCAAACACTCACAGATGAGCGGCAGTGCACTGGAGCCCATACTGACACATTAATAGACTGATTTAACAGCGCTGTGTGATAAAACACACACACTTCCTGTGTTTGAGAGAAGAGATGAGGGAGGAGGAGACAAAACTCTACACGGAAATACACAAAGAAGAGAGAGATCCAGTCTAAGATATTTAGCTGCTAATATATTCAAGTTGTTATTCAGTTGTTCATAAATTCAGTTGATGGAGATTGTTCTCACTTTTATTGTGTTCGTTCACACACACACACACACGCACACACACACACGCACACACACACACACACACACACACACACAGAAGACAGACCGTGATTAAAGTGAAATCACCATGTGACATCTAATGTGTCTAATAATGTAACTCTACAACATATCAGTGAATGAAATATACAGCCTTCCCCTAGGCCACGCCCCCTTGTCTCCCCTAAAATGTTATTATAATCGATCATGCGCATCCCGTGTGCAGAATGATGCACTTGAAGCAACACCAAGTCACAGCACGCCACGCTTCACATTGAAAACAACATAGCGAAGGGATTATATCTATATGCTTAGTAGGGTTGGACGATTTGGGGGAAATGTCATTGCCATTACAATTGTGATATGCGATTCCGATATAATAAAATGGTTTCATGAGTCCAACTTGCTTGGTTCTACACAGATTAAAGGTTCTATAAGCGATGCTGGGCCAAAACATTTTTTGTCACATACATCAAACGTCTCCTCACTATCGGCTAGCTGCCTGTCCCCTAAACACACTGTAAAAAAACGCGGTCTCTGCAGACACCACAGGCTCCACAAACGGCAACAAAAACAATCATGTCTTACCCGGACCACGAAACCTAACAAACAGTGTTCCAGCCAATCACTGGCAAGAAGTATTTGAGGGTGGGTCTGGGGGGTTAGTGCGCGTGCACATGAAGGGTGTGTGTGTGTGAAGGAGAGCAGCGAAGCATCACAGGGAAGTTTGAAAAATTACCGACACACGACCAAAGAGACGTCGTTCTGAGGAACAAATTAAAAAGAAGAAGGAGTCGGATAAAGAACGTGCGAAGTTCCGAATTTACATCGGTAGCAAAGCTTTTGAACGATGGCGGCAGAAGGGCTTCCAGTCCGACATTCAGGTTGCTCTGTTTTTGCTTGACAGGTGGGTAACGTTAAATTGTTTTTTTTCTTCTAAATTGACGCTTAAAAAGCTTTGAAATAATTTTACTTTTTAAATATTTATATTTTTACCACCATTTCCCTTTTAGAGTTATGTATTAAAGATATTTCGAAGGATTTTTTTTTTATTTCCATTGTATGGACAAAAACACAGATACATTTTTCCAAATAACTTATTTTATGACAGCTCATGTTTTGAAAGACGATGTCCTGTAGCTCACTAAAAGCATTAAAAATGTGATGATGTCCGACTGATTTATGAAGAAGAAAGCCATAATTTTTCAAGAAGCATTAGACATATGACCCACTATTCTGCATCATAAGTACCATGTTGACAATATGACATGACGTAGTTTATTGTACCTAAACAACAATTACCACATTAATCTCTCATATTGCTCCTCATAACCACTGAAAACTAAAAAAAAAATCGAACCCAAAGTAGAATTATTATGGACATTATCTGATATTAAGCGTTTCTGCTTCATTGAGGCTATAGTAGGAAAAAGCTTGATGGTTTAATGCACATAAACGACGATCAGTGATTACCAAACTCCTGGATAGATTTTTTGACAGTTTTAAAGGTAGGCCTATAGCAGAGGATTTTCTTTTTCCGGGTGGGTAGTCTATACTATTGGTCCACCTAAGTGTCAATCATTCTGGTGATATGTTTACGTAAGGCCGTCGTACGTGCTCATCTGTAGTTTTCACTTTCAGGTGTATTATGTCGGAGTTACGGTTTCAGCCATTCCTTTGAAAATGGCTGAGGGTCGAAAGAGAAAAAAATTTATACGAAGTGATAAGAAGAGAAAAGCCGCAGAATATAGAAACAAGACCAGAGTGATTTTGGGTGAATATCACACGCTGGCGTGCGCTAAAAGCACAGGTTGGGCTTCTCACTGATGCCGCAGTCGCGAAGATTCTATTAGACAGGTAAAAGTTTGTCATGCTATTTGGTAAAAGTTAATGCAATCTACTTAGCAATGCTAACCCTGGCACAAGTCATGCACCGCATAGACACGGTAAACATCTCAATTTGTCTAAAGTAGCCTTTTGACCAAATGATAAATGGTATCACCCTGAAATATTCTAAAACCTTGTGTGTTTATTATTACACAAATGCAACAAGCTACTTCTCCATTATGCAAATATGTATAAAAAATAACGTAGGCTATTAATACCTATACGTATTAACAATGAGACATATTAGGTTAAGGACGTAATTGCACTGCTTATATGCCATGTAACGTAATTGCGATTTGCAAAATAGTTTCCTCAGAACATATTTCGTGTGGTACAGGGTTGCTTATTGTGTTCGTTCACATTGTAACAACTTGAATAAATTAGTAGCTAAATATCTTAGACTGGATCTCTCTCTTCTTTGTGTATTTCCGTGTAGAGTTTTGTCTCCTCCTCCCTCATCTCTTCTCTCAAACACAGGAAGTGTGTGTGTTTTATCACACAGCGCTGTTAAATCAGTCTATTAATGTGTCAGTATGGGCTCCAGTGCACTGCCGCTCATCTGTAAGTGTTGGATCATATTCTATAATCTTCTTTTTTTCTGTTTCTAATGCAATGTATTCAGCTGAAGATGTGATAATTTAATGAGTGTTGCGTCTCACTGCTTATTGTATTATTTATTGATCAGATTAAATGTGATGTTGTTATGGTGATCGGATGAAGAGTTTGATGATGTATTTATCTGTGTGATAATGCTTGTGAAAGATGGAGGTGATGCATGTATTTTTGTTTAGTTTTGCTGTGATATCTTTCTTCCTACTTCAAGTAGTTCAGATAAATCAAATGTATTTGTGTTGATATGAGTTATTGCTGAATGATGATTACACACATAATGCACATTATTTGAGTTTTCTGAGCTTGTAAATGCACGAACTAACACACAATCAGCTTCTCTATCACTTCTGTTTCTCTCTGACTCTCTTATTGAGAAATAATTGCAAAAATGATTTGGAAACTCAAATTTCATTTTCATTTTATGGACAAACAGTTTATCAAACTAAGTAAAGCTTTTCTCAGAACTAACGTTTCCGAGGCACGTTTCAGTTATTTTTAACCAGTTCGCCTGAACTTCATATTTAGTTGTTGAATGATGTCAGTTCACACGTGTGTCAGAATAACGCAGGTTTCCAGAATAACTTCATTACGTCGACGCATATGAACATGTTCCACCAATGACAATCAGGAAGTATCTCTGTTGTCCTATTAAACATATTTATTTGTTCATGTTCTGCAAAACCTTTTTTTTTTTTTTTTTGAGAAATTGATTGAAAACTGTACTTTATCTATATGTCTTTAAATTTTACTTTTGAGATATTGGAAATATACAGATACATTTTTAATGTGGTTTAAGGGCTTTTTCACACTCGTTTGTTTGAGAGACTGCAAGCGCTCAACACATTAAATACTGTGGTCTGAATATGGTTTGTGTTTGGGGCCTTTTAGGAGGAACTGAGATCATTTAGTGCTTGCAGAAGGTTTTCTTTCTGGTGTTGGTCATTTCAGCTTTGGGCTATGTGTCTACATTATTTTACTATATAAGTCACAATTAGGGGTGCGCACGAATATTCGAAACTGCCCACTGTGCAATTTGACGTTAGAGTGACATCTTTTCTATGTCGTTTTTGGACGTCCAACTTCGGTCCACTGAAGGGGTTGTTTTGTAACGCCAGGCGACGTCTTTATTCGACGTCTTTTGCGCGTCTAATATTGATGTTGGTGGGACCAAATGTGGACGTTTGTGGACGTCTTTTTAACATCAAATTCAGTATCTTCTATAACTTCTATAATTGTAGTCCCATGTTTCAAAAAGGTAGAGGATATTTTAAAGGATGTTATCTGTACCATGTAGCCTATTTATATTTATGCATTTGGCAGATGCTTTTATCCACAGTATCCACATTTACATTCCTGCTTTCCAAGGGAATCACCCCAGGATCTCAGCATTGCACTAGGTGGCCGTTTCACAAGCGCCAACGCTCTACTGTTTGAACACGTGTCAATTACCACCTTCTGCTTGAGACAATCAAATTCAGTTTTTGGAAAACTATCTTAAATAATTATAAATAATCTGTATTCATATGTATTAATCATGTTGATAACAACAATGTTGATATTTGTAAATAAAAAAGATATTGCATATTAATGATGTAAATTTCCTGCACCTGTAATAGACATCCAAATGAGGTCCAAAAAAAAATGATCCAATGTCACAATTAGGGGTGTGCACGAATATTCGAAACTGATCGTATCAGTTCATTGTGTGTGATGACGTTAATGCTGGAGAATAATCCATCAGTTCTCACCTTTATGAGCATCAGAACAGAAAAAACACTTTCAGTTCATGTAGAATAAACTCTAGACATGTTTCAGTGATTTACATTGTGTTGAATGAATGGAAAAGCTTCATCTGTGTTTCTTCTGCTTTTAGTGCTGATGTCCCTCGTTCACTCTGGACTCAGTCAAGGTACTGTCCATTACTGCAGTACATATAATTATGTTTTAATTAATGAGAATTGTGTTATAGTATTTATTTGTCTACATCAGGATCCCACATTTGTTTCTTTGCTGATGTTTTATGTTTGCATATATTTCACAGAATCATCTGACTGTAGTTCATTATGCTGCAAAACATTACAGAAATCTGCTATTTATTCGATCAATCAAACAGTCTTGCATTGTACAATAGTTCAGTCGACTGTAAGCATACGCAGACACGAGTGTTTCTCTTGCTACTGGTTTATCTGAAGACTTTTCTCCAAATCCACCATGAAAACTAAAACAACACAATACAGAAATCACATCAGCTCGACACACAGCAAAAGCGTGTAACAGATGTAATGACATTTCACACAAAATACAGACAAATAAAACAAAATACCTTGTTGGCTCGATTCTGTGAGAAAGGGAAATACTTTTAATTTTCATTTTATGATAAAATGTAGAACAAATTGCAACAGAAGCAAACTCAACTGATTTTGTATCCTCAATATGTCCTGAGTGAGGAAAAAAAGCCCTGAAGAATCCCATTAGGGGAAAGTTTGGAAAAAGACTCAAATATCGGATATTCATTATTTCTCTCACGTGAATAGGGTAAAAAATGTTAACCTTTAGATATCATCATGAAAATTGAGTTGATTACTTGCATCAAGACAAACAACAAATGTATTACAAGTTTTTATTTTTTTTATTGTTTGTTAACATGGGCAAACAGTGCGTAATCTGTATGTGCTAATTTGCATAAATACCACAACAGATCTAAACATTGGGTATAGCAGGTGAACATGTCTTGTTGAATCTTGCTGACATATAACAGTAAACTATTTAATGATAATGTCTAAATGAAACCTAATTAGGCTACCAATGAGCATTAACACATATTTGAGACAATAAAACCTTTGCGGTTACTCAAAAATATCATTATTTAATTTAGCAAAAAATATAATTTGGAAACACTGCATTTTTACACTGTGCTGTTGTAGTTTGAGTTGCAAATACACATTTCAGCATTTTACTAATCTGTGTCGGCATTATCCTTGAGGACCAAGAAAGATGACATAAAAACCATTTGTTTATTATAATAAATATATATATATAAATAGATATATATATCTCAATCACAATATTGACTTCAACAAATCGCAATATGACATTTTCCCCAAATCGTGATGTCCTAATTGTGATCCTATTCATCCCGTAGAAGGTAGCCTAATTAGTTCAGTCAGACTTGATTAAAACAGAAATGAGTTCTGCACAGTGAGAGTTTTTGTTCGATAGGAGGATTGGAAAAAGTGGACTGTATAAGGTGATGGTTCAGATCTAACTTTCCTCAATGGGGTGTCGGTCAGAACACACTGGAATCAGATCAGTTCCATGCAAAGGAGGTTTATTTGTTAACAGTCTTTGGGCTGTAAACAACACAGCAATACACAGGCTTTACTTATCACTGGTATTTGTGCGTACGTGTGTGTGGTCTACAAAGGAAAAATAAAGATACATATTAACAATATGTCTTGAGTATTATTACACAAACATAATTTCAGTCCCACCAGGATTTCACGATTTTTTTTTGTGATTTTTGCAATCAAAATGACTGATTTTGTGGTGGTAATTTCCAAAAATTTGTGAGAAAATTTGCGATTTATATATAACATTTACCATAATAGTATTCAGTCCTTCCAGAAAAACGCTGAGTTTTTTTTTGTGATTGTTGCTGGCAAAAATTGATTGATTACGTGGCCCATTTTCTTTAAAAATGCGATGGAATATGCGGGATATTTATGCAATTTTATGCGATGAAATTGCAGGAATTTGCAAAAATTGAGGGAACTTGCAAAAATTGCGGTTTGATGAAAAAGAGAAAAAAGTGATTCCCCCAACATCCTGTTCTCACTAGGCTAATGTAAGAGTCATTTCTTATTACTTCCTTTGATAAGCAAGCATACTACATCATGGAAAGTGCTGGGAATATTTAATTTCTCATCTTGTTTTATTTCAGACTGTAACGAGTGTAAATAAGCTGTGGCCCCTTTAAGAGCTGCGCGCTCCCTGTTGAACTCTCTGCAGTGTTATATTATATGTGCGCCTCGAACACCCCATGTGTGCGGTTAATTTCTGTTTGATGCTACTTCTTTTATCTTATGTTGTTTATTAAGTAACGACGTGACTGTAGAACGTGTGACAGACAGTTATACGAGTTCGATTTGTGAGATGTCAATCGCCTCCGTGAGTCTGTCTGGCGTCGCGTAATTGCGTCACTTCATAACGTTCCCATGGAAACAGGGGGAAATGGCTGCTCTTGTGTGAGGCAAACGCAACATTTTTCAACTTTTTGCTAAGATACATGTGACTTTTTTGCAACGAAAATGCGAGGATTATGAAATTATGCAAACCCCGCATATTTTGCACGGAAATCGGCAATTTATGCGGCGAAAGTGCGGCGTATATGAAAAAATGCGGCCTCCGCATAAATATGCGGACCTTGGCTGATTTTGCATTGAATTCAGCGATCACATAATCGCGTTTTTCTGGAGGGACTGTAATTTCCATAAACAGATACATATTTCTCAAATAAAGCAATTCTCAAGTGAAAGCTAGAGTAAGATAAAGGAATAAACACATACTCAATGATATTATTATACAACACCGCCACTTTCGGTCAGAAATGGCATAACATTCAAAACCGAAACCAAATCTGAGGTAATTTAAACGAACGTCAGATAATCATAAAGATCACGTCCTTAAACTCGAAATATAAAGAGTTTCATACACTAATGTAAACGATCACACATACACATGCACAATCAAACACTGGGTGTCATCTCAATACTATAAATTACAAGTAATATCAAACATAAATGGCACACTGACGAGCCCTTAACCTCACGCGATTAACGGATTCATCTCTCTTAAACATGCATCACTTTATGAAAGTAAGACATCAAGGCTTTACAGCTCCTTAGCAAGTATTGATAAACAAACTAGGTGAACAGTCAACTTACATTTATTCATTGACGCACTTCGCACACACAGTCTTGCTTGTACAGTCCCGCTCTGAACTGATGATGACTGAAAGTAAGTTGCGCATGCGCACATGACTCGGCCTTTCTAACAGTTTTATTTGCATGTTTCTGAGATTTGCTGAAATTGTAATTATTGACGGTGTGTCATTAAGATCTTGAGCACCAATGCTAAGCTTTATTCATTCAGTGGTTTGGTTGGAAGAGCTGGAAGAGAAAAGTGTTTGAGAACAGACAGACAGAAGTTAGTTAGTGAGTTCCCAGTTCAGCTCTTTAAACACTCTGACTGTAAACAGCACCATCTACTGGTCAGAACAGGCAGAGCAATAATACAATAAAGACATGCAGACTGGAGACATAGATCTCTTTCATTTAGTTTTTACCAATACATGCATGCAATCATTGCAATTTACAAGAAATTTTTTTTTTGTTAATTTAAGTGTTTTTCTCCTGAGGAAGTTTTGAGTTCATGAAGTGATCTTGATCCTGCAATGCTTTTCAATATTTACTTCTATGTTTCTCAGTGAAACCTGTATTGACGGTGAAGCCAGATCAGCGTGTGTTCAGAGGAGAGACAGTCACTCTCACATGTGTCATACAGGGAGGAGAAGACATTCAGAGATACAGCTGGATTAAAGATGGAAACACTGTCTATCCATATACAACAACAACAGATTACGGTTTCACAGCTGATGCGTCTCGCAGTGGTGAATACAGTTGTAGAGGAGAGAGATCACACTCATACACAGAGATCAGTGATGGAGTTACACTGACTGTATCAGGTGAGTCTTCATATTCACATCTGTTTAATCATTATTTAATATCCATATTTCAACACTTATAATCTTCAGCCAAGAGACTTTAACATTCTTTGAAAGCTCTGGAATTTTCTTCCCCATATCTATATATTTTTAAATTCTGTTTGATGTCACAACTGGAAGCAGAAAAGACAAACACTCTTTTAAATAAAAATAAATTATACAGTTCCCATTCAGGGAACTTCGAGCTGCATGTAAACGCCGTGGGAACGCCTCTGTGTGATGAGTCATGAAGCACGTATGAAATCTGTCCAATGGCGAGACGGAACGTCATAGGCGGGGTGACGTATCGACCAGGAAACTATAAAGCATCCCCGAAACACAAGCGCAACAGCTTCTGAGTCTTCACAAGCGCTCTATGTATGAACTTTGTCTGTCTGTCTAATATTGTCTATATACAGTATACTGTATATATATATTGAAAATGGCGAGCAAACAACAGCATTTCAGAAAGTGTGTTCATCCCTGCCCTCGCTTCATCACGGGTGGGGATACACACGATCTGTGTGTTGCTTGTTTGGGAGTGCAGCATGCTCAGTCGGCTCTCGAGGGGGCTGGCTGTGAGCATTGCGAGTGTCTGCCCATGAAGACACTCCGCTCCCGCCGGGCACTCTTCCAGGAGAGTGGTTCGGTGCGCGCTCCCCGCGGCTCGGGTCCTGCTGCTGCCGAGGCACAGCGAAGGCTTGCGTCGTGGGGATCGCAGATGGATCTATCAGCGGGGATGGAGACGGGCTCCGCCCTTTCTCTGCCCTTACCTGGTAGATCCAGTGCCTCAGATCTCGGTGCGGGGGTCCGCGTTGCGGTTTCTCCTGCCCGGGCTGAGGCTCCATCACTTCAATTATCCAGTTCTGAGGAGCTCGATGTTGAAAGTGTGGATGCAGAGTCTATGGACTCAGTGGAGATCGGGGACTCGCCATCCCAGTCTCCCGCGAATATAGAGCTGATGGAGGTTTTGACTCGGGCTGTGGAAAAATTGAGCATTGAATGGCCAGTCGAGAAACAAGAGTCGAGAGTGAAGAGTAAAATGGATGAGAGATTTTTAGCGTCACACTCACTACCTCCGCGCCGGTGTTTGCCCTTCTTTCCCGATCTACACACCGAGGTGTGTAGATCGTGGAACAAACCAGTGT